CCAGAAATGTATGTAGAGGTACGTTTTCAGAATGAGCCTGCAATGGTTTTTTGCAGCGAATGCCCTTTCAGTATGGGGAAACTTGTTTTAGATATATAATAAAAATTGCTACTACATATTTGGACAAACCTTTGCATTCAGAACCATCAAATCCTGTGTTTGCTGAGATTTAAGTATATTTATTAGGAAACATTATCATATCAGTTGTTCATATAGACTGAGTGTCATGTTGCTGCAGATTTCTCAGGTGCACATTAATGAGGGTACAATAATATATTTGCACACTCTTAGAAATTCAATTCTGTGTGATTTTTCTTCTTGAAAAGTCTAAGAAAAGACTATGGAAACTACTGAAAATAAAGAAACATACATTTTAATCCTTAAACAAACATTAAACGCTTTCCTCTAAAGAGTTTTGTTAACTCTATTTTTCAGTTCCCCATGTTCCTCTGTGCTATTAGAAACATGAACATAATTAATGGGCTGATTACACTACAATTCAAAATAACTGATAGGGGACATAACAGATTGCATTTCTGAATATATAACAGCAAGGAGGAAAAATAATCCTTGCATATGTATCAAAATACCATAATATCTGTAGTAGTACATACAGACTTTTTTTCATACTGATATTAATGAGAAAATTGTAAACGTGGTCAATTTTAGTTTGCTGCAGCTGGCAGGTGTGCAAGTAGTGTGACATCTGTCCCATTTTACAAGTCTTTATTTATCTTCCTCTCACTGGGGAACCTTGTAAGTTCACAATACCTCTGGAAGTATGAACAGAGGGAGAACAAATGTGTCCTGGCAACCTTCAGTTCAGTTTAATTATTGAGCAAGTGAAGAGACGCTGTGTGTCTCCAGTAGGTCCACTCATCATGCAAACACACACAGAGGCGATAGAGACACTGACAGAGGCACAATCAAGATAAATCCATTCCTGATTTGCTGTAAAATACAGTCTGGCTGGCATCATCGCATCCTATCAGATTGAATTAGCAGAATCAGAGCGTAATGATCATATGCATTACAGAAAGCTCAGATGTATTTAGCACTCATCATACAAATGGTAGTCATGAATCTTTTATGATTATGGCATGCGTCATGTGTAATGAGTGCATACATTACATGCATGTAGTGTTGTATTAAATCTGACAGTTGACAGATTATGTATGTTTAAAAAGACATTTTAGACAAGTTAATGTTCAGTTTTTCAATAATAATAAAAAATGGCAAGTAAAATAATAGTATTGGGATTAATTTTTGTTTTGTAGTGCAGTCAGCAAACATCTTGGTTAGGCTAGTGATTTTTCTTTATTTAGACATTGTCTGAGGTTATAAATACTGACACTGATATCCCACACTAAAACTATATATTTAAATATATGCATTCTCTTTTGGATGAAGTAAAATAACAGAAATTAAATGATAAAAACAGGCCCGTAGCCAGGCGGGGTTCAGGTGGTTTGAAAAACGTACGCCCCACTGTCAAAGTCCAGAATTTGGCCGCTATATATATATATATATATATATATATATATATATATATATATATATATATATATATATATATATATATATATATGAGCTAATTTGTCCCATTTTTGACAGTATGTAATTATAAATTGTGAAAATAACACATAGAAGAAGGCTTTAAAACAAAGTTATTTTTTAATTATTCAAATTTATAAATTCTGACTAAGGAAATGAGCTGGCCAGTTTGCTATTTACCTACAGGCTACAGTTTTTAATGTTTTTTGTTGTTGTTGGTTTTTAATCACTTCTAACAGATTCCTAATTGTTTTCTTTTAATGATGCATGATAATAAACTTGTAATACATATTTTTTCACATTTCTTTATTCACATTAATTTATTTAAAAATCTAATATCATAACATTATTAATCAAAATGTAATAAATTAGATTTTAAACGCACATTTCTAAAAAAACACTTGGTAAAACAGTACGGTAAGCACTTTGACCAAATTGTAGGAAATATTTTTTTTGCAACAAAAAGTGTGGTTATGATCAGAATCCGTCAAGTAATGCAGCAAAGTTTAATGCTTAAAATGTCACTAAAATGCTATATTTGATAGAAATTGAGGAGAATAACTGCAATAAGCTCAAAGTTTTGAAAAAAAAGAACAGTCCCTTTCAATAGGTTGGCTACGGGCCTTAAAAATAAATTATGTAAATGTATCATAGATCACATGACAAATTATCTAAAAGTAGGAAAAAATTAAACATTGCATGCTAAAAACAGGACACAATGTGCTGTATTAAGATTAATGAATTGTCTGTTTTATTCTTCTTACATGTATTTCATCAGCATTTTCCATTTAACCCTGCATTGCATTGCTTATTTAACAAATAAAATGCATGAAATTTATGTTGCAAAAAATAACCAGTATATTATTCCTTTATTCAGTGTAATAATTAAATTATATTTATTCAAACACCATGTCAACATTCTTGGAATGCTCTTGCATACTTTTTTTTTTAAATAATAGTTTAAAAGGTACCTAGTCTATATTTTGTAATTTTTCACTGTAAACCTCTAAATACACTGTTGGAACTTTTCATATGTGGGTTAAAGCTTGATAAAACATTTTACAATATAACTGTGCTGTTTATGTAAAATAATATATATATCTTTAAACATTAATACTGCACGTTAAGGCAACTTAGTTAATATGACTTTACTACAGCATGATAACCCTCACTTTTTCTCAAAAAAAAAAAAAAAAGTACAGTACAATTAAGGAAATCATTGTAAAATGTGCAGGCTGATGCAGTGAACAAAACCTCTTTTTTATGAAACTGTGCCCAAAAGACACTGTCGTTATTTTATTCCATAATAATATCAACACAAAAATAATTCTTCATTATTGCCATTAAACAGAAGGTGCCATAGGAAAAATAAATCATAATATAATATAATATAATATAATATAATATAATATAATATAATATATAGCCTAAGAAATTTCAGCCGTCCATTTTAAATAAGCAGAGTCAGTGTTGAGGAAGGGCATCCGCACTGATTGTGCCGTGATGGGACAGTTTGCATAGTGCATTAGAAACAGCGCTCACAGCTCCCGTCATTTCCATCTGAGAGACTCCATCGTCGCTCCTCTCTGTTCAGGTAACGTTAAACTACCCGACACGAGCAGTTCGTCTTCGTCGTGTTTTTCATGTTAGTCTCCGGTTCCCAGAAGAACACATAGTAAATAGCCAAGACGAAAGCTGCGACGGAAACGCACAGAAAGTAAGCGATCCCCATGGCCACTTTCACCCAGATCTTCGTGGCTCTGTTGGCGTGCTTTACCCGCTGGTCTCCGGGATAACTCGGTCTCCGCTCCGCTCCTCCGTTCGACCTGGCGGGGTTGTTTCCTCTCATTTTTGAGGTGACGGATGCTCTAGGTTATTCCAGTGGTCAGTGTTTGTTTCTCGGAGGCTCTGACTGAGGTGTGCTGTGAATCCGCTGAATCAGGTGACTGACTCTCTCCCGCACTTCTCTTGAGGGGATGACGGAGCGTCCTCTGCACCACCACTGCCTCTCTCATTCCTCATATATGCACACTAGTTTTAAGAGAACACAGGGCGGAGTTCAATCTGCTTCACCACTGATTCAGCTCTTATCATTTTTTTTGTAATTATGCAAAGGCTCTTTGCAGAAATTAGGATTTGCAAATGTCTTGTTCAGATAAAACGTCATAAGGGAATATTATATAACAAGACCGCTGTTTCTGTTAAGAAAAGTGATTAATGGTCCCACGAAGTGACTATCTTTGTAGTGTACTTACAAATTGATCTTTGTAACCATTCAGTTTTCACTTAAGCAAAATTTACATGTGGCCATATTGTACCTTACTTTAAAGGTATATAAATATATATCTCATGAAATGTTTGTGCCTTTGTTTCTGAATTTAGTTTAATTTAACCACAGAGGGGATGTTTTTCTGTAGGCTACATATTTAATACAAATTTGTTTAAAGTTGTTTTACAAACTTTATAGCCATATATACCCCCCTTCCACCTATTTATAGTTATGTGTTTGAGCATTTCCAAAAGTCTCATATATTTTATTACACTATTAAAACTATCATATTTTATCCATAACCTGCAGAATATAAAAACTAAGGCTAATTATTTTTAACTAACAAAACATTTAATATATACCTATTATTTAATAGTTACATAAAAAAAATATGCAAAAAAAAATCATCAGCCTTACACTTTACTTTCCATTGGATTGCAACCCCTGAGGTTATTATGCTAGATTAACATCACAGCATTAACGTTAGTTGCAGCAGATTGATTTTACGGTACAATGTTAAACTTTAATGGCATTCACATACATTAAAAAAGCCACGACTGAACATGGAGGACGACCTCTAAGTTGCTCCAAGTCTCCAAAATTAAACAAAAAAGTTATAGTCTTATAGTTATAGTCTTGTGCTATAAACATTGTGCTCATTATTCTCATTAAGTGAGATAAATATTAAATTAAACAAATGAATAATGATTATAAAAAATAGACTGCTGCACTTTTTTGTGTCGTCAGTAAGCTTGTTTATACAGTTCCTATAAGTGTATGTGCACCATTGTGTGCAACATTTGTATGCTTATAACCACCTCAGAGGATAGAGGGGGTCGCGATTCACTGGTGTTGTAATTTTAGAAGTTGCGGGCTAAAAAGTTTGAGAACCCCTGGTCTATATTGCCTAATTCAATATAAATAAAATTAAACATCGTAACACATTCACTACATCAAAGACTAACAAAAGCTGCAAAGATATATTGCTCATTGCTAGCTCATGTTATCAAATGCATTATCCAACACATTAAAATCTAAACTTATTTAACTTGTTAAATTCTATTAAGTGTTATCAAAATGTGATTTATTTTATTGGAAAAAGAAAACTTAAAATGATCAAATAAACTTGCTGAGATGTAATATGAAAAAAGTATTGGTCTTAAGACAAAAAACAATTATAAGTAAGGCAAGTATGTCATTTATTTGATATGACAGCTTACTAAATACAGATAAAGTTACACTGCTTACTTACTTTTCACACATCATACATAACACAGTGATTAAAGCAACAACAAATTATGTCCAGTAAGCTTAAAAAAACAAATGCCTGAAATCTTAGGAGGATACTTTGGAGGAAAATCAATACTTTAGTATCATGCTACGTGCACTTCTCAAAAGCCAAACCAAACCTCCTACAAGCGGCAAACCAAATTATATAATATAGAAGTTCTTTCTAACCCCAAACAGGAAGACATTTCATCTGCAGGGAGGTGCAGCAGGTACGATACAATCACAAATGTCATGATTCTTTCTGCTCCGTGAGCTCAACTGGAAAATAAAAGGGAAATTCAATGCACACACACAAAAAAAGAAACAAACACTCGCACAACACATTGGAATGTCTGTCAGTTTAAAAGACATAAACATATTGCATGTTATCAAGCTCCAGCTCCATCCATTCAAAATCAGGAACACACAAATACACTTGTGATAAATGCAGTACTTAAACATGATGCAACAACAAATAAAAGGTCAAAACTAAAATTGGACTTGATTGTATGCATGATCTGTCACCCAAGTCATTTCATCATTCTCATTCAAACTCATAATTTTGCCATGATTTTATAATCTTTGGTCAGTGTGCACATTATTTCTAGGGCATCAATTGACTAAGCTAAACTTAAAAATTTGGAGTTCATTCTCATGAATATAATATTAAAATGTAATGTGAGAATTCTTTAGTTAAAAAAAAAAAAAGTAATGCCCTAGTTTATGACGGGACTGCAAAAAAGTGAAGCATCCCACTCTCAGCAATAAATACAACTTCATATATTGCCTTTTGACATTAAAATATAAATCTGAGCTCAGATATCATGTTTATGATGCGCCAAACGTTGTTTCAAACAACATTGGGGAACAGGAACTTGCATTGCTCCGTCATAAAAACCTAATTTTGTGGCTTGAGTTTAACATGCTTTACTTAATCCCAGTGTAAACGTGAGAAAAGAGCAGCAGCAGCATAGCTAGACAACAGCACTGTCCCAACCAATGAGGAATAATTAAATAATACACTGAGTAGTTTGGATGAAGCGATGGCAAGGATCCAAGGACTCCCCTCGAACCTTTAATTTACAGTCAACAGCCGTCCATTACACCTGATGTCTCCACTTTTCTCCGCTTCTGGTCTGCGCATTAAGTCCTCAGCCTGTTGACATATATAAATCAGTCAGAATTAAGAAATTATTATTAACATGGAAACATGGATAGAGTCAAAATGCTTAGTAGCTTATGGCCTTGTTTAGATCTGGTAATGGGATGTGTTTGGACAATTGGATCCCAAGTAGATGAGCGAGAAAGATTCCTGTTTTGATCAAATTTCTTTTTCTTTTAGACAGGTACAGTAATGCTATGTTACTATTTTAGTCATGCAAAACTGATGTAGATTCTGTTGTTATTTCAATGGGTTATAAGCCAGAAGTGTTGTTGAGCCACTGAAATCTTCCGGTGAAAGACTGATGTGAATATTTTCAGTTTCATAAGCTCCCTTTTACAGCATCTATAATGTAGATTTTTATTTTGTTTAATAACATAAGTAAAACAGCGCTTTTTTGCCCAGCCTGCTTTACTAAGTTGGCTTTATATTCACATTGGTTAATTTTTTAACAGATGACAACATGTGACGTGCTCCTTTTATTGTTTACCATGCTACTTTGAATATTCTGTCTGAAATTACATGCAAGTATGGCTTTGTAGTAAGTGTAACACCTGCAGCCCACCGGCAAACCAATAAGCATACAGTAGTTGCTTTAAGACAAAGCACGTGACGGTGATACCAGCGATCCTTGCATGCTTAAAATATTGCACATTATAACAACTTTTGCTTGCCACACAACTGAAAACATGCTTGATATAATAGTTTGCAATATTTTAAAAGTACTATAAAGTTTTCTAACTGGCGAATGACATGATCTAGTGGGTTGTCTACGGTCATCTTTAAGGTGCGCGTTTGTAATTTCAGGAGTCGTGCCTTTGAAAGGCAGGGGAGAGACGGTGTTTCAAAGATATTATGCTAAGGATTAGCATTTTGGCAGATCACCTACTGCACCTTTATTGCAATTTTGTCTACTAGATGACAAGTAGATGAAACTAAATTCAGTTGCAACTGGGTTAATAATATGCTGTTTACACTGTTAAGAATGAAAATGCTCTAAGACGCTTTCAGACTGATGCTTTTATTTTATTTTAGATTAAGAAACACATCTCTGTCCACACTTTATAGCCTAAAACGCATGATACAAAACCATTCACACGCACTTGAATTTTTTTGAAGAAAGTTATTAACTTTTTCAGGCCTGAATTAATAGAAAAAGAAATTGACTGGACGACAACTGAATGAAACTTAATTCAGGTGGAATCCAGGTCTAAAATGGTGTTTAAGAATGAAAATGCTCCTCATCCAGACTGCACTTTATACTCATTTTCAGAACAATGACCATTTACACTTACTGGGCTTATTTTGCCGGCTTCCATTTTTGCAGTTTACTGTTTGTATAATGGTCATGAGAGGCGTTTGACAAATCAGGATACGATATGCAATAGCCCAGAAGACCAATCAAAGAGCGACTGTGGATATTCCCACCTCCGTTTTCAAAAGTCTGCTTTTTAGTCCAGCTATACTGAAAAGGATTACAAACTAAAACAGGGCCTTTAGTATTATCAGAATGCTTTGTGTTTGAAGGTTGAATCTGCCAGAGTAGTGTGGATGCCAGGCGTACCTTGCCATAAAAAGCATGCTTTGGTAATCTTTAATCAAAATCGAACTATTTGCTTCCATTCCGGGATAGCATTCATTGACTGATGATGTCAGATTGACGGCATGGGGGAAATGTATCAAAGACTATAGAGTACACAAGACATGTCACGCATATAGTTTGAATGGAGAAAAGTGTACCGGTCAATATGGCGAATGAAGCCCCATCTATGAGTACAGGAGCCAATCATCAATCGCTATAGACTGACGATTCTCCAGGGCAGAAGCTCATTACAGACATGTGCTTTTATGACAGTATGTGGTCAACAACTGGAACATACTGGAATATCAATGAATACTTGCTTCATAGACATAAGAAATATATGCAGATAAAGCTTGAAATCTGTACTTTTAAATGAACCAAGTGCACTTGAAAACAAAAAGTTTTTTGGTTTTGTAATCTGTATGAAACGAACGTGCGGTACAGTCGATCCAGTGAAACAAACATCACATGACAGCAGCTACTCAAACGCTCAAACATGTAACCTAAGAGTCGCTGTTAATTCTGGAGGAGATTCGCCATCAAGACCAAATTGTGAATTACTTTAGAAGACCAGCGTGATCTGACGAAGCATTAATTAGAGGATGATAATGTGTAGAACAGCATTAAATGCAGTTGGTGTCGTGATTTCGTTCCTTTCGAATGCGCATGTGCATTAGCATAGGCAATCTGAAAAATACAGATTTTTGATTTGAACGTTTAGAAACTAAACTTATGAGACTGTTAATGTTGAATTTTATAGGCGATTCCAAATATGTAATTTAATCGTAAGCTTGGCAAACAGATGGCCGCCGAGTGAAATAACTTGCCTGAAAGGGACTTTGAATATACTTAGCTGTGCCCCTAACCATTAGTTTGCTGCGAGTGAAAGATAAAAGCAGGAGCAACAAAATAAACACTATCCCCATCATAATATTTAATTTCAGTTGGAATGCTTTGTCATAGTTGTTATAGAAATTAAAGTCTGAAGCAACTATGATTGACTTCGATTACTCTCTTAAAATGTCATTGAGCCACAGACGATGTAAAAATAGGCAAAACCCTCCCCCAACAAAAACACAAAAATGTGGTGACTACCTTGCATTCCTCTTTAGAAATAAGCACTGTTGAATTGGTGCATTTCTGTGGTCAAATACAGGCTTTTATGTATAAAAAAATTAACATGCTGCTATTAAAGATTATTTTATCCAGAACAACATACAGGAATGTGATTTTGGTAACTTGAACTTGAATTTAGACCCTGTATTTTGACTCATTGACTGCTTAGTGAGGTGGTTTTATTACATCTCTAATGCAAAAGTCATCTGCAACTTCCCCATATATTTTTTTTGCAATAAAAAATGTTTTCCTGGACATTTCCTCCTGTTAAACAGGCTAAATGTAGCATAGAAATTGAATTAAAGGAAATAGAAGAATCTGGTTATTGAGCCATTAGTGATCTCTATAATGCATGTGGGCAATGGAAATCTGAATGAGGGAACTGGCCAGAAACCACATCCACTCATTAGTTGATAATGAGTCGTTAGTCGCACAATTAACTGGTATGATGTAATGACAATAAGGAGGAGTAGGTGGACAAGGTCATTGAGTCCAAATGATTAAGTGACAAGGTTGAGCCTGTGGCACTGGAGAGGATATGACATCAAACATTCACAAAACACTAGCACTGTGTCTACTCCAGACTACGGACGCCTAGTCACAACAGCTTCAGGCTGTATAGACAGTTGCATATCACTTCTCCTTTGTGTCAATAAGTCAAAAATTAAATGTGGCATCGGAGATTTGTTGCATCATAAGTAGACATAAGCAATGTTTGTAATATGATTTATTGCCTAAAGTCTCGCCACTTGTGTCTGGAGTAGAGATGGTGTAAGGAGTAAATCAAATTACAAACTGGCTAAAAGGGAAATGGAACCAATCAGACGGAACAAGCATCACAACATTTATTTGCCATTCAAGCATCATGCCAAATGACAACAATAAAAACTACAAAAACTTGTATGATGAGTAAAAATCATTTCCTACAGTGTATACAATCTCAGATGCGGTCACACTAGAGATACAAACATTATAGACATCCTATTGTCGGTAGTGTAGCGATGCATGTAGCATAACGCACACACAGATTACATTCAAATCAAGCAGCTATCTGTTGGTCAACATCACAAATTTGTGTAACCAACTTTAACACATTATGAAATCTTTCGCCTTCATGCGAAGATTGTGTGGATTTCTATTGAATATTGAATATTTTGCCTGCACAAATTCACTGAACAACAGTGAATGTGACCACAGATTTAAAGAAAATTAAAGGTGACAAATTTCAGACTTTAGAAATTACAGGATAAAGGCCACCAATTACATTTCTGGTTAGATTTTTATATGGAAAGTCATTTTGTGCATGATATACATTTGTATTTGAGCTTTTGTTAATTTTTTATTTTTTTGTTTACTTTGCTAGTTCATAAACCTAGAAATCAAGTTTGATTCTGGGTTTCCATTCCTTTTGATCAAATAATTTATTATTAGTAAAGCGACTATATAGAACAGAACCCTAGAACTAGATGCTTTCATATTTCAATGATTATTAAGTTTTTGTTTTTTGAGTTTTCCTGATATCCGCATGTTTTCAAAACCATGATTAACGCAGTGTTAAATTTGCAGTTCATATGAATAAAGAATGGCTTTAGGTCTGTATTCACACTTATCTGGTTTGGTTGGATTAAAATGAACTTATTTATTGGAATAAGTGTCAACACTGAAATACAAACCTTGGTGTGAACCAAACAAGTGGACCGTTTGGTCTGAAAAATGGCACTGAGAACACTAATGAACCAGGGATTATTATATAATTATGTTTTGGTCTGCATGGTTTGGGGTTTAGTTAAACACTAAACACAATATTGTTTTTTTATTAGGTGTAGTTTGCTTCACACTGCCCTTTTCTTTACCCTATAATAGACAGAAATGCTTGCACTTCACTGGCATGGTGTTGGTCATGCAACAATCATCTGTGCTTTCTGAAGAACCACTACTGACAAACTCTTGCTGAAGCCCTAAGGGACCGTTCGCACATTGCATTTATTGCTTTATTTCAAATGTGGACACGTAATTTGAGAGCAACACAGTTGTGAAATGTGTATAGTACACATTTAAATTATAACGGTAGACTAGTTAATATAGGCAAATGCAGAACAGCCAAACACGGCAAAGTGTTTTCTTTTATCCATAAAAAAACTTGGCTCAGTGGTGAAGCTGGGACTTAGTTGACAGTTGGCTAGTGGTGGTTCATTGTAGAGCGAGGCTGATGGTTACTGCAGGTGCCATGGGTATGCAACTCAAACTATGACATCCTGCTAAGTCAAAAGGCGCAGGGCTTTCTGCAAATGTGTAGGATTGAGGTTGGATCATATTCATACCTTAAACCACAGGTGTCAAACTCAGTTCCTGGAGGGCCACAGCACTGCAGGTTTGTTGCTAGATCAGATATGGTTACGGCCGGAAGTTAACAAAAATTATTTAAATTATTTATTAAATTTCCCATTAATTGAATTTTATTAACGACTACCCCAACCATCACAGTAACATAAAAGCAGTAGTTGTACAGAGTATTATTTATGTTATCTGTTATATTAACCAATAAATTGTATTTTTTAATGTCTACCCCTCCCCTAACCCTGACACCAACTGTCACAGTTCTGTAAAAATATTAATTATTGTTATGCAGTGCCTGTATAACAAACACTGCTATATTGATGTGCATATCACATGTTCAGCCGGCCGTTTATCCTATCTACACTTTAGCGCTCTGCACAGTTTAGCTTTTTTTAACCCTAATTAAGCACACCTGATCAATACTAAATGAGTCATTCAGGCTTGTTTGAACCCTGCTGGTAAAGCCGTGCTCACACAGGACTTTTCACCCCATAGACTTCCATTCATACGCAAGCGAATGCAGCAGACCTGAAATGCAAGCTTGTGCGACAAGTTTCGCATGTCACTGCGTTCGAAAGTTCAAGCTTGGTGAACTCTGATCTGCAAAATCACATCATGTGATTGTGTGAGACCAATAAGCTGAAATCATGACCTCTCTGTACAGAGATTAAAAATATGGAGCAATCGCTCGCTTTTTTAACGCGTAATCGTCTCGTTTAATCCCACCCATTTTTGCAGCACCATATGACAGAATTTCTCAAGCTCGAACTCTAGTGTGACTACGATTTAAGTGTGCTGAAACAGGGTTGGAACTATATTCTGAGAAATTTAGAAACTAGGAACAGAGTTTGATACCCTAGCCTAAATTAACGAGAGTTTGTTTGGAAGTAGATTAAGTACAACCTCTAAGTACCAGTTGGGTCTCGGTCCATTTGTTTGGTGCGCAGCAAAGTGCAACTGCTGTGTTCATGCCTCTACACCAAAGGGACATAGACATCAAAGAGATAAATTAACATGAGCTTGATTAAACAGAACCAAACAAGACAGGTGTGAATAAACCCTTTAAGAGAAACCCTGATTTTCTAAAAAAAATACCCTGATTTCCACCCTAGTAAACTTGGTACATTCATTCTGTGTGGCCTAATGGACACTCATACATGATGGACATTAAAATGGCATGAAATCCAATAAGACGTCATACAGATGCTACAAACAAGATTTGGTTTCCTATATTCAATTCATCTTTGCAAGCTGCTCTGCTAGAAAAGTCAATCAGCTTTTTAATGACCCTACAGAGCAGTCAAATGGCATCCTGTTGGGATGAGCTTATAGATCATTCCTGTTTTAAATCTACACACACACACACAGCTGCAAAAATGGAATAAAATCAAAACAATTATTTGCTCAAGCAGATTGTGGCATGCATGAAAGGGTAGAAGCCAGAACCACATTCAAGCATTTCATCCAGGCAGAGGTGCGAAATCAAAAAGGTGCATGATCAACAATGAGGGGGATCCAGGAGCACAGTAAACACAGGATATTAGTCGTGCTGGAGGAGGTGTATAAGTTCACAGTGGAGAAGGACAGCCAGTGTGAAGCTGCAGACAAAAGTGCTGAGTCCTGTCGCAGCCTGAGGTGCTGCACTCCCATTTGTCAAAGATGATAAAAACAAGCCTGATAGCATATGCCATCTTATGCCAGAGACAGATGGACACAGAGATGTAAAAGAGACATGAGTATAGTGAACAGGGAGGGGGAGAGACAGACAGAGAACGGAAATACTGAAGTGTGCAGGAAAAAAGGGGGAGGACGTTCATTAGTTGTTAGAAGTCAGCCGAAGTAAGGGACTTCTTTCGAAAAGCCACAGTCTCAAAGCTGGTAATAAGAACAGCACCTGTGGACGGTTGCTCTGAAGAATCCACTGATGTTTCCTCTTCAGGACTGGTTTCACACTGACTCTGGTCCAGCTCAACATTAGGGACATCGATTTCCTCTGCATTACAGGACAAATTGGATATTACAGTTACTGCTTAAACTGGAGGAAATCATAGAGTGAGAATACTGTGTGAATGAATTGTTTGGACTTACTGCTCTGGCTGGTGCTGTCTGAGGTGGGCGAAACTATGGGTTCTTGGCTGCTCGAGGTGGTAGTGTCGGGAGATTTAGCTCGTAAAGACTCCTTTTTTGTTTCACAGGAAGTGGAATCCACCACTGCTTGCAGAAAGACAGTTATGTTCTTAATGTTTAAAATACAAAGACACTAACAATGCTGAAAAACAATATTTAGAGGCATAGTCACAAAATTTTTTTTCTCATCTCTTAAGTGGTTAATTTCATTTTCATTGTTAGTTTATTTTATTAAAGAGCCCCTATTATGGGTTTTTGAAAATTACCTTCCATGCAGTGTGCAACATAGCTCTAAGTAAATGAAAACATCCAGCTGAGATTTAAATCTGAAAGTGCACTTAGTTTAAAAGTATAGATTTAAAAAAAAACATTCAGACTCAGTCGTTTTAATGATTCGTCATTTGTCTGGGTCTCTTGACTGTTTGTATCAATGTCGATACGAAACGATACCAAATATGAAGTGCCGATCCTGTCAAACGTGAACGTGCTTTTCCCTTCAAATGTTAGCAGAGTGCGGGTGTGTGGGACTGAGCATGACTGAAGATGAGTGAACATTTTTTCATGAGTGAACGTTCTGGTGATTATTGCAATGCAATTAATGCAACAGGGGATTTATTGGTTGTTTGTTAAAGGAAGGATCAGAAAAGACTATTGATGTATGGAACTTTGTCAGAGCTTGACAGGAACTTTATTAGTACACAGTTCATGGATCAGTTTCTTCCTCAATTTCACAAGTGTAAGCAAGTGTGATTAAAATGGTTTCCTCCTTGTTTTTTCTAGCTTGCAAATTATGTGTTTATGTTACTTGTAACTGCTCCACGTGGCTTGTACTGTATCTGGTTAACTTTTTATATTCAACGTCTAAAACCATGTTGAAAACAAGATGCGTGTTGACTTGTTTATGAATTTAAATGCATTTGTGAGCTTGCGATGCTCTGCTGTTTGTCATTGCTATGGCCACCGTTAGCTGTTCCTATACACGCAGTCAAGTTCCAAAGCAGTTCAGCTTTTGCCACTGTGTGGGTTAATACTGAATGTGCATTATTGTTATTACTTATGGTTAAGAATAAAGCAATATGCTGGTGTTTAACTGCTTTCCTTTAAAGCACTCTTGCATTGAGCTCACACATATACTCTGAACTCTGACTACTTCAACAATGCTGATAAGCTATGGTGTGCGTTTCTCTATGTCCCGCGCTGAATGCAGTTGAACAATCTCAACAGACTGGTTCATCGGACCAATCAGCGCAGATTAGCATCACGCTAAGGAGGGGTTTGGGAACAAATGAAATTCTAAACAAATCATATGGGAGTTGTTAGGATAATTAGGTAAAAATAAATGCATATTATAAGACAATGAAAGTGTTGGAGACCCCCAAAACCAAAATATGACCTTTTAAAATGCATAATATGGGCTCTTTAAATATAGCTTTATTTGAATTTTAGCAGCTCAACTTCAAAAACTTGATTCATTTTGTAGCATTTCAGAGATTTTTATGTTGCTGCTAGCATGTTCTAGGTAGTCACTTTAACTCTGAATTATGCTACATTTTTGGTTTCCCAACACACCATCCACAAAGTTTGAGTAGACTGAATGTGGATCAAACCAATTCAATGATCAAGGAAATTCTCTGCAATGCTTGCCCACTAGGGGGTAACATTAAAGCCTGGTTTATACTTCTGCATCAAGAGATAGGTTTGACCCACGGCGCATGCAACTCGCATGGCTGTGCATTTATACTTCTGCACAATGTTTCTGTGGTTCTGCAATTACACTTCGTAAACGCTCGTTGGCAGTGAGGTGTTAATGTTCCTCTGTCGAGTTTATTTGCTGGTGTTTTGTTTTTTTCTGAACACTCCCAAATGTACAAGTGGCTCAAAATCACTCATTTTGAGGCAGGAACAGGCGGACGTGCAACAACTTTAACCATGAGGTAAACACAAAACAACAGTTTCCATCTGGAGCTCCTTCACGGGACTCCACACTTGTAAACAATTGCTCCTTTGGGCTCACGGTCCTGCCCAGACTCGTCAGCACTACCAAAACGACCAATCACAGAGCTTGCGCTACGCGTCATTGCGACGTGTAGTTACATTTTTTGAGAGGTGCGCGTCAGCAACGTCGACAGCATATGGCTATGCATCAACACGTAGGCTGCGCCGTAGCATACGCGTGCGCTTGACGCAGAAGTATAAATCCGCCTTAAGAGTTGGGCTGCTGTTTTTTTTTTTTGTACTAGTCATATAATAATATTAAAAAAAGAAATAAAATACAAGAAGGTGTAGACATCCACAATAGATATGCATATACATATTGCATATAGATACAACCCTTAAGTATACGAACACAACTCTGTGCTGCCCCCTTCAGGCCAGAAGGAATATAATATTCTGTATAAAAAATAAAAAATAAATAAACAAACAAATAAATAAATTGTGTACTTGTTTGAACAAGTTCATACTTAATAGTTCACTCAAATAATTTCCTGTTAATTTACTCACCCACAGATTATTTAAGATGCAGGTGAACTGTTTGAGCAGGCTGTTAATTAAAGCTGATAATATTGTAAATAATGTTCAATTTCTTACACGGACCGATCATTTTGCTTCATAAGACATTGGTCATCAGGAAAATTGAAGAATCTTTGCACTAAATAAAGACTATGATCATCTCACCAGTAGGTGTTATTTCTGATTCTTCAGAATGGCTGTGTGTGTCAGTAGCATCCTTCTCTGCCGGGTTGCTCTTAGCTTGAGCAGGACTGCTTTCGGTGCTGCTGGGCCTCAGAGGGCTCTCGCCCAGACTGCTCTTAGGAGAAAGCATCTCCATTTCTTCACCCCAGTCTGACACTGGCTGGTGGCCGTCCAGCGGGGAGAAAGGGCTAGGGGGTTTTGCTGCCTCTGGTGTACTGAGCATCTCCTTGGGAGAAGGGATGTGGACTTTGGGTCTTGGGGTACGTTGCCCTTTTGGGCTGGGAGTAGAGGATGCAGCAGAGGAAATGCTCTTTTCTTTTGATTTAGCATCTTTCGTGTCTTCCTCGTGATCTGCTTTTTCATCCTCTTCCACATCTTCCTCTTCACCATCGCTGGCATCCTCCCACTCATCTTCCTCTTCTTCTTCAGTTTTCTGCACAGCAGGAGAAGGTCAGGAATAAATTAAAAACAGGCTAATTTAAGTCAAATGGCTTTACAAATGAACTCTTTGTAACGTAATACTTAGCGCTTAATAAGTGTCTGCCCTCTTACCTTCTCTGACAATGGAGCCTTAAGGGTGCTGTCCTCATTTTCGTTTTCCTTTTCTTTGTCCTTCTCTTCGTCCTTTTCCTTCTCTTGCTCCTCCTTTCTTCCTTTCTCCTCTTCATTTTCTCCTTCCCACCGATTATCATGCATGCTTTAGGAAACATGTGCAGTGGTCAATGAACATCAGAAAGTGCACCGAAACTAAATATACATATATTTTTTATTCAAACTGATTAGAGTGGCGATAGGCTCTCCAACTAAAGTATTAAAACATGAAGGAAATGTCTCGATGAAATCCAAAGTCCCACAAAAGACATTAATAGCAAAAATGGTAATGCATCTAGGCTGAGATGTAGGATTGGAAATATTTAGCGGTGTGATGATCCAATTCCAAACTGATTCTTGACCTACATTTTTTTCATATTTCTTCAGCTGTGCAAATAAATCTATCTATGCTTTTGTTTATGATTTACACTGCAGGCAAACATGGCCTGAATCAGATTTTTTTGCTCACATGCAACTCAGATCTGTTTTTGTCATGACAGTGTGAACAGCCCAAACTGCATGGAATCTGATCTTTTCAATTCTGATTTGTGCCACTTTTATATGTGGTGTTAAATCAGATACAGATCTGATGTATTGCTATCCGACTGCAGTGTGAACGGTCATGTAGGAATTCATGTGATTTTACGTTATTTTAGATCAACATTATTCTGTTCTGGTTAGTGCTGCAAACATCCTCTTTTTTTCAGCAGCACAGTATATCACATTGGACAAATACTCTACACCAAAAATAGGTTGTTTATTTTGAATATTTTTAAATGACAGCTGGTGCTGGTTAACCAAACATTAACCAGTAAACAAAAAAAGGATTGTTCGATAAAAATACCACCATAATAAAATTGCATATATAAAAAGATATACATAAAATTGAAGTCAGAATTATTAGCCCCCCTGAATTATTAGACCCCGTTTATTTTTTTCTGTTTAACATTTCTAAACATAATAGTTTTAATAACTCATCTCTAATAACTGATTAATTTTATCTTTGCTATGATGACAGTACATAATATTTTACTAGATATTTTTAAGACACTTCAATACAGCTTAAAGGGAAATTTAAAGGCTTAACTAGATTAATTAGGTTAAGTAGGCAGGTTAGGTTAATTAGGTAAGTTATTGCATAACAATGCTTTGTTCTGTAGACTATCGAAAAAAAATTGCATAGAGGCTAATAATTTTGTCCTTAAATTGGTGTTTAAAAATTAATAACTGCTTTTATTCTAGCCGAAATAAAACAAATTAGACTTTCTCCAGAAGAAAAAATATTATCAGACATACTGTGTAAATTTCCTTGCTCTGTTAAACATAATTTGGTAAATGTTTAAAAATAAAATTCAAAGGGGGTCAATAATTCTGACTTCAACTGTATATATAAAATACATGGGCCTACATGAAATAGCTATATTTCACATAAATAGTTAAAACATTAACAAAACCAACTGCAACAAGTTTAATGCTGCTCTTTTTTAACCTTTTTGGACAAAAATCCTTCAATATCCCAATAGGCAATGTTTCAGTTTCACTTTGAGTTTTAACTGGATACAGCCTATACTGTTTATAACAAATTAACATGAATTAACAGTAGGCTAGCTTATCAGACTCTGCAAACAATATAATTTCTAACACCAGACATGATCCCTGCTTTCGCAGTTTAATCTGGGGCTGCTTATTAAGCCTTGATGACTTACTACGCACCGGTGGTCAGTGAGATGTGCACTGCACTTCTCATTATTAACAAATTATCACAAAACATGTATTATTAGTACTAGAAAAATAACCATTTAGAGTTCATAAGAAACACAGTGGTCGTCTGTGTTTTTCAGTCAATAATCATATTAAACATAATCCGACAACATGCTTCATTCATTTCATACAGTAAACAGTGTGCATAATAGACATTTTGTGCTGTGCGTACTTGGACTTTGGCACATTTGGGTTAGTTTAGGACCATGATCTGTTCACACTGGAAATCTGACATTGGCCACATTTAAAACAGTGTGAACAGCTATGCAAAAAATCTGAATCTGATTCAAGCCCTAAGCCTCACAGTGTCTAAAATTGTTATATTTAGCATGAACAAGCACTGAATGTAACACTGATACGCCGCATTACAATGAGCAATTTTAAAAAATAAACAGTTGTTATTCCAAATTATTTTTTTAGTCTGTTTACATTTTAACAAATAAATATCTTCTAAGTGAAAATGTTTAAATAAAAAAATATATTTGTCAATTATTCTGAATTGCTTTTAGTTCAGAGCCAGCAAAAAATAGCTTTCAAACAGCAGTTCACAATGCATCAGTCCTTTGCTGGTTGCCCACTGAACACCACGCACACTGCATCTTAAAAAAATTCTTAAGTTTGTCCATCTTAGTCCAAATAAAGTGAATTCTGCAGCACATGTATATGTGCCTGTCAGCACTCATTATTTTTTTGATTCTAGCTCACATCTGTGCCATCATAATCTAATTTTGAATACATGGTTGATTCTTAACTTTTAAGAACAGATTCAGAATTACTAAAGAACAAATCAAAATGCATCATTAAATTCATTTTTGTTTTTTTTCATACCCCTACTGACAAGACCATAATCTTTTCAAATTGTCTATTTACACTAGAAGCAAATAGTCCACCTTATTTACATTAGTTCTGCCCACCAATGCTTGATTTGGACAGTCAAAATGACAAATGAGGTCCATTTGGGAAAAAAAGCGTTTCGCTTTTCTCTATATAGCTTACAAAATGTGGAGTGTAGGGTTCAGAACATGATTTGGGACAGGGACAATATGCCCCATTCTGCCAGTTTTATTAAAACAAACATAAACACCAGAAAGAAAGTCAAACTAATTCATCTGGTCATTGCTACTGGACGGCCAACGCTACACTCAAAGTTTAGCTCCAAACTGCCCCAGAACATTCATTCATTTTCCTTTGGCTTAGTCCCTTTTATATCAGGGGTCACCACAGCAGAATGAACCACCAACTATTCCAGCATATGTTTTACACAGCGGACGCCCTTCCAGCTGCAACCCAGCACTGAGAAGCCCATATACTCTCGCATTCACACATGTACTCATACACTATGGGCAATTTTGTTTACCCAATTCACCTGAATATGCATGTGTTTGGACTGTGGGGGAAACAGGAGCACTCAGAGGGAACACAGGGAGAACACGCAAACTCGAAACAGCAGCCTTCTAGCTGTGAGGTGACAGTGCTAACCAATGAGCCACCATGCCACCCACCATGCGATTAGAGGTAAATTCTCCAAAAATGTTGGCCCTCCTGAATCAAGACTAGACACCCTGTTCAAGGAGGTTCAATTACATACCTGTAGCTTTTGCCCTTTCCTCGCCCACGTCCTCCTGCCTGTCTGGGTTTGCCCTGCCCCAAGAAGTCCCCGAAGGTTGGTGTCTTGGGCGGCTTCTTATTGTCTTCTGCATGAGAGAGATTAGAGCAATATTAATCCTCCAAGAGTGTCATGCAGCTGAGCAAGACCTTGGAGCACAATTCTGTGTATGAAATCTGCAGTGTAGAGAAATGACCCTGGGCTAACAGTAACAGATGGCCGCCTGTCACTCTGATGGATTGCCCCTCAATGCATCACTCTTCAGGATGAGAAGAAGAAAATCGATGAGAAAAACATGCAAATGTGCCCTTGATCTGACAGTGCAGTGATGAGACTTGACTTGAACGTTGAAAAAGATGCATACTGGGTTTGTGAAGCACTCAAAGCCAAGACATGAGCAAATGAGCATGCGCAAGACCCAACAAGATTTTCTATAATGTAAAAATAGGTACTTTAGTGCGTGTGACAGCTTTGAAGGGACAGTGTAAAGGCCTGTTCACACCAAAAATCATAATGATAAATGCAATAGCTATGTTTGTGTCCATACAGCAAACAATAACTTCTGTATATTCTATGCCTATGTGCTGGAGTTTCAAAATTACTAAAACGATTGCTGTGTGATACATTTGATATGATCTGCTGTTATTTTAAAGGGATAGTTCACCTAAAAATTTTACAAGCTAATTACTCACCCTCAAGTGGTTCCAAACATTTAAGGGTTTCTTTATTTTGTTAAACAAAAAATATATTTTGAAAAATGCTGTAACCATTGACTTCCATAGTAGTTGTTTTTCCTGCTGTGGATATCAATGGTTACCCATTTGCAGCATTCTTCAAAATATCAATTTTTGTGTTCAACAGAATAAAGAAACTCACTCAGGTCTGGAAAAAGTGAAGGGTTGATGGAAAGGGGAAATTATATTTTTTTGTTTTGTTTTTTGTAAACTGTCATGTTTAGGTACCAAGTAAAAAAAAAAAAAAAACTTTTAAAAAATATTTGTATTAATATAATTTTTTGATAATCAGCAGATTTCCTCCATATGCTCAATTTCTAAAAATCTGGGAAGTGCAATTCATATACTGTAACAGTGAATATACTTATTGCAGGCAGTGTAGTGGAATAAATACAACAATGTAAACTCTTTTACTGGAAATTAAAGCAGGCAAAAAGAGAGATTTTAAATGTGTGAGCCCTTTATATTTGAATGGATTGTGGCATTGTTGCCTATTATTAATAGAAAAAAAGTTCTCTATATGATCACAATGACATTTATTTATTTAATATTTATTTATTGCCACATCAGCAACTTATGGCTATTTCATGGCAAAATGGACATATATAAAAATATTACATGATAAAAACAAATTTGTACTGCAATAAAAAAAGTTACTTAGAGAAATTTATAAATGTAAATAAATAAAATTCACAGAAAAATCTATTAAAATTTAAATATGATCTTTTAGTTCAATTTTTGATAAATAATTTAAGATTCTTCCTGGTGGTACCTTTTTAAAAATATCTATCATTGTCCTCGCCATATAAAAATGTTGTCTAATGGTATTTAAACTTCGATCCCAATTATATATTTTCTATGTCGTTATTGCTGTATTCTAAACTTTGTTTTATATGGAGATTTATTGTAAGAACTATGTCATCATCATCCTTGGTATCAACAGGTCTTAAAATGACAATGTTAGATCGATGTTAGTTCATTAGCGCAGTATGATACAATCATAAATATAACACAACACATCTCAAAGCATACATAAAGACTTGGTTATAAAAGAAGTGGAAAGAAGTTATAAAAGATTAGGAAAATTAATTTGATTGGATCCAAAATTTACCAGCCTATACAGTATCTTCAAATTAAGGAAGAATGTTAAGTGATAAAATTGAGATTTTATTAAAATGCTAAAAATGTTTCAGTTAAATTATACATAATACTAATAATAATAATTATTATTATTATTGTGTTACATATTAAAATAATATAATTAATAAAACAACGATAACATTAAAAATACTTTTTACAATAATTACAGTAAGGACATCTGGTTAAAAGTTGTTACTGTTGACCTTTGAAGCACCTCAGACTTTCATTGACAAAAGATTTTTTCCAATACCATAAGGATCTGAAAATTTGAAATGCCTTTAAGTATTTTCAAGCACCACAGCTGACAGCTGACTCAAACCTAAACTTCTCTTTGTCCAAGAACATTTTTTCTCCATTTACAGCATTACTACTAATGTTAAGGACATCACACGACTAAATAAATCTCTTTTACTGGGATTTTTTAAGGAGGAAGCAATCCATCAAGGCAAGAAGATGAGGAGTGTCTGGAAATTTCTGCTCCACAAATTGACCGGGAAGCAGCTTATGACTGGGCAACTAACAGAAAGCAATGATGGGGAAACGTTATCTCAGCTATACAGAAAGATGCATCTTAGACAATGGATAATCCAATCAGATTTACAGCCACCCGCTGTAATTTGTAGTAATGGAAAGCAATTAGAAACCATCAGTGCATCAGGAACAGCTTGTTGGTTTGCACTCAGACTAAAGCCAGTTTGAAGTGGGTTAAAAAAACAAAACAGAAAAAAAATAAAAAACACTCGCCACACACAAACACAATCCCATGCCTTACGCTGACCTGAAGGTGCACCGCGTTGCTGTGCATGGGTATTGCGCCCCCTAGCTGCTGAAAGACCACAGCACAAAAAAAAAAAAAAAAAAATCACCAAATAGAGACACAGACAAGCAAAAATATAATATAGTAATGCGTAACTCCTCTAAAATTTGTTGCTGTGCTTTACTTTATTGACAGTTATAAATATCTTTAAAAAAAGACACAGGAAAATAAGGGCATTGTGTAGTGGTGTCAGGTGGTCACTGTGGTAGGTGTGGAAGTATTTGTGTGATTTACCTCTCCTGTTGCTTTGTTCTTGCATGCTCTCACCAGCCACAGCTGATTCCTCCTTGAACCTGTGAAAACGCCACAGGGTCACTGCTCGACTCATTCTCGCCCTGTCAGGTTTTATTATGCCTGTCTGTAGAGTCTTTCTCAGTGTCTCTTTTTAACACTCAAAAAGAAACAGAATTTTGTTATAAAGTGGTATTTTGTCATACAAGTTTGTAACTAAATGAAAGCGTGTAAAATATGACAGGGCTTTGATTTAAGGGGAAATAAACATTTTATGGGCTGTTTCCACTGAGTTGTATGGTACGTTACGGTACGCTTTTATGGCCGTTTCCACTGTCAAAAGGTACCAAAAAGCGAACTGTACTATACCACTTTTTGGGTGCCCTTTTGAAAGTGTACCTTGTACAACAAAATGGTACCAAAAGGCAGAGCTATTGGTTTCCAGATATTTGTCACTCGCTTGTGCACACTCCAGGAGAACGAAAATAAAGCTCTATTTTTAAATACACAGCCAAGACATTACACTGTAATAATATATAGTATACATATAATAATGAGCTCAAACACACCTTGTCGTCCTCTTGATTAACAGCCACAAACCCAAGAAGAAGAGCAGGATCTACCCTGTATCCCACTGTTGTTTATAAGGTTGTCTAAAGTGAGAGCGTTTTAAATTTCTCGAGAGAGCTCGTGTGAAATAATATTTGAAATAAAAACTTTTTGAGCTTATGATAATAACGTGCACGTGATTATCGAAGTGCTTCTGAGATCCGATCCTTTCACAATTGGACAAATGTGAGAGTGACGTGCGAAAAAACAAAGGAACAAATGGTTTTTTCAACAACCTAAAACATGAACAAACTCATGTTTAACTATGATCATCACATTTTAGACTATTTTAAACTCGGAATGACGGAATTACTTTCTAACAAGAGGCTACATATGCTGGTGAAGGTTAAAGACACAGATGAGAGGTTTGCACTGACTGTTGGCCATATGTTGCGTTTTGTTTTTGAACCTAAATACGAACTAAATGTATGCTGTCTGTAGTTTTTCTGTCATTGATAAAATATGGGAGACGGTAAGAGTCTGTATCCTTTCATATATGTAGCATTTATTTATTTATTTTATATAATTGCAGACGCTACAGTAGGCTATTTAGCATCATTGATCTCCATGAATATAAGTAATGAATACACAAGTATGTATGTGTATATAGCATTTATAATTTTGTGAAAAGTGCTTCTCATGTGATATGTCCTGTGTAGCTTTACTTTGACATTTCCTCGAGCAAGAATAAAGTTGACTGAAACTTTCTGTCGTACACCATGCCCACCAAAAGAGTACCATTGGTAGCCTTTAGGCAGTGGAAACGCAAGCTTGTGAAAAAGGTATCCCGTACTGACCCATACCATACTGTACCACTCAGTGGAAACAAGCCATTAAAGCTCACCCAAAAATGAAATATCTGTCATCATTTAATCACCCTTATTTGAGTTTCTTTCGTTAAACAAAAGATATTTTGAAGAACTCTGGTAGCTGGCACTCCTTGACTTTCCTAGTTATTTTTTTTACTCTCGAAGGCCAATGAGTGCCAGCAACCAGCATTCTTCAAAATATCTACTTTAGTGTTCAAAAGGAGAAACACAAAGATTTTAAACCACATGGGGTAAAATACATTGAGGTAATTTTATTAATGTGTGAATAATCCTTTAATAGATTAAAAAACATGTCAACAACATCTCGCATGTCCTGAATATGCATAAATATAACATTTGTATAAAAAAACTCATAGCTACAATAGTGAGGAATTAAGCCTTCGACACTCACATCGTATCAGTTTTTTGTGCGTCCCACTCTCGCCTCCATTGTCCAGTTGCGTTACGGTGACGAGCCAGTCGTTCTTCATCAATCTGCTCTCTTTCCTTTTTCCAGCGGAGATATTCGGCTCTTTCTCTACCCGTCATCGACAGAGTCATATCCACTGAGCCTTTACCACCAGGCCTACGATTCTGTTATAAAAAGAGAAGGAGAGTTGGAAAAGTGAAAAAAAAAAAAAAAAAGTCAAGATTTTTAAACAGTCAGAAAATTACCTGTGTGAACTGATGCACGTGTGAGTGCTTCTTTGCTTAGGGGTTTAAGTGTGTTTTGCAGTCTTGTGTTTTTTGGATGGCTGCTTTAGGGTGGTAGATATAGTAATGTTTTGTTTATATGATTAAAATACTGTAAAACTGTAATAATATAAGACAAAATGTAAAATATTGTTATATTGTTAATACACTTCAACAATCTATTAATTCCTGTGTTATCAAAGCTGAATTTCAGCAATTATTACTCCAGTCTTGTGTCATGTGATAATTTATTACATACAATCACAAAAATAGTGTATTGTTTGGTAATTTAGAAGTCTTTTGCACTTTTAATCAATATAATGCATGATTGCTTAATAGGTTTTAAACTCTAAAACCCAATTGTTTTTAAAGTGTTAGTGCGTCAAATCAAATGTTTAGTACCGTCCATTCTTTCTCAACTTCTGGACCAGTCTTCACATTGTCAAAGTCAACTCCACCCCAGTTGCGCACGTGTCGTCTGCTTCCCTCTTTGCGGTCAGTGTCTGGGATGGGTCCGCTGCGCCGTGGGTCATCAAGAAAGTTCCTCATAGGAATCTTCTCTCCATCAGCCTGTTAATCAATAATACATGTGTAGTACTTGTGTAACACATACAGTCAAACATTATAAAGAGAAAGTTGCATTGCTCAGAACATACCCTTTGACCTCTCTCATATTCAGCAATCTTTTCCATCTCCTCATTCATTTTCTCTATGTTCTGTCTTCTTTTCTCCTCCCACTCCTGAAAACAATTAAAAATATAATATCAGATAATTACGTTTTTTATTACTAGTGTCTAAGGGTGCTTTCACACCTACACTTTTGTTTCGGAACGTGTCTCGATTGCCCAGTTAGCGCGGTTCGATTGGCATATGTGAACAGGGCAATCATGCTCTGTTCCGCACCAAAGTAATCGCTCCGAGATCGCTTGAATGAGGTGGTCTCGGCTCGATTGAAACGAACCCTGGAGCGGTTCGATTGCAGTGAGAAAGCGATCCGATCCGAGCGCGGTTATATCACAGTGTTTTATGGATATGTAATAGGCTTACGGCCATATGAAGAGAGAATTATGAGTATGGCGGGAATTTTCGCGAGTCTCCGGATGCCCGCAAACGAGTGATGATCTCCCGGTAATCTCGCGTCTCCCTCCCAGTCCTCAAATAGGCATTGTCGCGCACCCTTCTCACCCCTCCCCACCGCATCTCTCCTCAGACACATCGCGCACGCGCACCCTGTCAATCACCATCAAACCACCACCTAAGGGTGCTTTCACACCTGTGAATCGATACAGTTGTTCCGAAACAGAGATTACAATTGTTACATTGTTGCTCTTTGCTCTTGGAGCGGTTCGCTTTCACACTGCAAAGTTTCTAATCGGACCAAAAGAGCTAAAACAAGTCACGTGCGAGTAAACTCTCCTTACATTGGTCAGAGTGTCAGGGTTTATTTGGCAGCATCCCGCTAAGCTGTCAGGAGAGGTGGTGGTTTGGTGGTGATTGACAGAGTGCGCGCGCGTGACGTGTCTGAGGAGAGACGCGGTGGGGAGGGGTGAGGGTGCGCGACGAAGCCTATTTGAGGACCGGGAGGGAGACGCAAGATTACCGGGAGATCATCAATTGTTTGCAGGCATCCGGAGACTCGCGAAACTTCCCGCTGTACTCATAATTCTCTCTTCATATAGTCATAAGCCTTATACATATCCATAAAACACTGTGATATAACCGCGCTCGGATCGGATCGCTTTCTCACTGCAATCGAACCGCTCCAGGGTTAGTTTTAATCGAGCCGAGACCACCTCATTCAAGCGATCTCGGAGCGATTACTTTGGCGCAGAACAGAGCGCGATTGCCCTGTTCACATATGCCAATCGAACCGCGCCAACTGGGCAAACGAGATACGTTCCGAAACAAAAGTGTAGGTGTGAAAGCACCCTAAGAATTAATTTGTGTTGTTTAAAACAGCTGTAACATTTTCTAAAGGCTACTACCTTCTTGGTTTGTTGCAAAAATCCTTATATTTATTTAAACAGCATTGTTTTTTATGACAACAACATATTTTATGCTTGAGGAAGCAGTGCTGTGAATAAATTATGAGTTTTGCAAACAAATCACCTTTGACTTTCTATCTGAGCCAGGTCCTGCTTGCATTCCGCCTCCACCTCCTCCTCCACCTCTTCCTCCTCTTCGTCCTCCTCTAGAGGAGCGTTCAGTATGAGCGGGACTCTCTCCAACTTCACCATCCTGAGGTTGCCTGTCTGGTCGTGGTTCGCCTTTGTTTGGACGAGGCTCTCTTCGTTCCCTGCGTTGGCCGCCTCTGCTTAGCCGGCCTGATCCGGTTCTGTTTGGGGGACTCTCGCCATGTGGCCGACCAGGCTCCTCTTCTTCTGGCCCAGGATCTCCACGAGGACCAGCTGGTTTTCTGTCATTTGTAAAACGCTTCTCCTAGAAAAACAGCATAAAGTTTTACTAAGAAACTAGAAAGTAAAAAGATAATAAGATTGGTGCTATTTTAGTATTACGAATACAGTAAAATAGATTTCATGAATTAGATTTCATGAATTCTTTTCAGATTTATTTCTCAGTTTAGTGTATATAGTATTTGCAATTATAAGGTGCTATAGAAAGTATTTGGTTAGGTAAGGTCAAAAATTCTACAGAAAGGTTTTATATGCTCATTTATAAACACAGAATGTACAACTAGAATAAAAAAAAAGTTCAGGTTTGACCATATTTAGAAGGGTCATGAATATTAATGAGCTGTGCAGTTTGTGTCAAGTACCTACTCTCAAACTCGCATACAGTATGATGTACTCTGGAATAAACATGTGCAAAAAATATTGCAACAAATTGAGTAGATTCCTTGGTAAAACTTTAGCTGAATTGGTGGAGAGGCTCATTTTAGCTAGAAGTGTGTTAGATGCAGGAAAAAAAAAAAACTATTTTGTTCCTCAGTCATGTTGTGGGTGAAATGTTGGCAAAATTATAATTATACAGATATAACATATGTATTTAGAGTTGTATTTTGAAACTTTGACATATTGTATATGAAAACATAGGCAGCAATTGTTATCAACTTCCGCATAAACAGATTACTTTAGTAAAGTTTATTGGCATTCTAGAGAAAATCACAATAAGAGTTGGGTGATATGACACATTGCATAAATGTGGATTAAACACATAATCAACAGTTTGTCTGTTGCTTATTTTACAAATATATGTGGCAAATTCCACAATATACACATTAAACTAACAAACAATACAGTTAAACGGACATTATGACTCTACGGGGTGGTGGTGAATAAACTTAGAATCTTTATATCCTGTTTTGTGCATTCTAACACAATATGAATAGATGGATGGATGAGAACTACTCATTAAAGCTCATCTCAAACCAGACACTGGCCTGTTTTTTTCACTGGGATATTACACTCACTGGGTTTTCATGAGAATCTGGAAACAACCTGGTGTTTGAGACTTGTGGTATGTCATTTCTATGTACTCTTTATTATTCAGCTATGCCTAGGTAGATCCAAATTTTATATCAATTAATGAAAACTATTCTTAACTATTACTGTTTTTAATAGTTTACGTTAACTAGAAAATCCCTACATAATAACATGTTAGCATGCACAATAACCTGGAATCAGCTTCTTAACAGGGCAATTATAATCATTTGCATCTGTCTAGTTTAATAAATCTTTTTGAAGATTAAACTCTCAATTTGCAGACACTGAAAGGCATGACCTTCACAGACCACAATAGGAGGCTCAAACACAGCTGTGCAGGCCATCTGTGGCCGACAGGTACTCTACAGGTATTGATTAAAATGCTCTACAGCTTGTCTCAGTCTTCCCCAGGTGGGAAATTAAAACCCTAAGAGCTGTGAGGAATGGGAGGGGCAATTAACTTTTACAGGTTCTTGATCTCTATTGGAGGTGATCCAAAACATTAGCAGTCTGGGGTTATTTCATATATTGTTTAATATGTATTGTCATTGATAATGTTACAGAATAAATCTACATACATGGATAAACTGGAAATGACGAGTAACTCAATTACCTATTCTTCAACACAGTAACCAAACAATAAACCATCTAGACTCGACCATCTTGTGATCATATCACTGAAATCACTTGTTAATACCAGGTGCAAATAAGGTTTAAGAAGATGACTTGAATTCACATGTTGGAAGCTTTACTTTTATATTGAAAGCATATTTTAAGCATTCCATAACCATGCAATGTTCAAAATGCATAGCGTTATTAAGGCAATCAAAATTGCAGAGCAAATACATTAATTTACTAAATGTATTGATTAAATGAAACAACTTTACATAAAAGATGATGCACATTGTTACCTTAAAGTTAAATTGTCTTATGTAATTAGCTTAAAATGTTATTATTACTCCTTGTGTAAAAATTGTAAATTAAAAGAAAACCAAAGATTTGAGCATTTGTGGAAGTATAAAAACATACAAACTAAATTATCCAGATTGCTTTGATACTGGACTCAAAATATAATTTCTAACAATTAAATTACTATTACGCATTAGCACCTACAAGTGAAAACAAAACAAGGAAAACTGCACTAGAAAGACAGCAACAGATCACAGAAGCACTACATTTATTTAATTATTTTGTGGTGATGATAATGCAACATATTTAGTCACTGCATATTATAGTATAGTGTGAATCTACGAAACTATTCTGGTATCTGTCTTTACCCCAGCTGGTTTGGATAAGTCGACTGTTACTGTGAAATTCTCCTTCTCTGTCTTTCTTCGTTCAGACTCATGCTCATGAGGGCGAGGTTTGCGAGCTGTTGTCACAGCGATGCCCTCCTGTTCAGCCTTCTTCTTATCTTCCTGTATTTCCTGGTGACATAAGAGAAATACAAGTAAACTAAATGAATTAATAAAATCTAAACAGGTTAAGTAACTTGAATCTGAGCATTGTGACTGCTCAATGTTAAATGTGAAGAGAAAATAAATGATTATTAGCACATTCACACACAAAAAACTAACTGGCGGAGTGGCAGCGGTGTATCAAATTTCAACACCCAAATTCACCTGATATCGCTTAACCAAAGCCTCATTCTTCTTCCGCAGGGCTTCAATTCTTTTGTCCAGTTCCGCATCTTTCTCCTCCTTCGTCTTTAGATCTACCACAGCTGACTGAATGAGAAAGAAGGGAGATGATGGTCAAAGAAATAAATACAGTTTAAACAACGATAAGTTTTAATTTTTTTGGTTAAAAATAATCATTGGGTTTGCATGTTTATGCTCTTGAAACAACTTTGACTAAAATAATCATAATAAAAAAAATAATAATTGATCCAATAATGATAATAAGTGACTAAAAAGACGGTTAACAAAAAAATTATTGGCTCATCATGCTGTGCACAGAAAACCATATATTTTTATATGTTGATGCCAAATTTGATTCAACAGCCATTGTAGAATGGTAAACTTGTTAGTACAAATCTACAGGTTTTTCAAAATGGGTGTAAATAAGATTTCTAAAGAAATTACAAAACCTTTTACAGGACATGATGTTATAAGTTTTATATGCATCAATAATGCAATTTTTTAATCTATGTCATATTAGCTTATGCCTTTGTCTTTTGTATTATTATAATTATTATAAACAGACCTATTCATCCATGGACATAACTACAAATGCAGACACGCCATAAATTGCTCATGAACTTTTACCTTATAAACACTGCTGACAATTTATATATAAATTAGAAATGGAATAATATTTATTTTACTCATTCATTCATTTTCTTTTCGACTAAGTCCCTTTATTAATCTTGGATCACCACAGCGGAATGAACTACCAACTTATCCAGCACATGTTTTACGCAGCGGATGCCTTTCCAGCTGCAACCCATCACTGGGAAAATATTTATATTATATATATTTAAATATAACTTGCTCTCTTATTCTCATATATATATATATATATATATATATATATATATATATATATATATATATATATATATATATATATATATACATCAGAAAAGATTCATTGATCAAAATAACATTTATTTGCAGCTCAGACACTACGGCTGCACAATATTTGGTTCCTGTATCGATATCACAATGCATATGTCTGCAATAGTCACATCGCAGTATACACAATGTTGAGTTGGGAATGGGATTATAGTTGATTAGCACAACAGTTTGGAATACATGAGATTTGTGGAGTCATTGCAAAGTATAACCATAACAGAGTGCTTATGTTTTACAACAAAGACATTTCAAGAGAGTTTAAAGCATTCATGCACAAAAATGTACAACATTTGTAACTTTAACAAAAAATAGATTTACTGAATTACTACAATGAAGACCATACAGTTTTATTTAACATTGTATTATAAAATTTATTTACCTGAATAATTGTTCGACTGACTCTCTTACCTTTTCCTCTTCGCTATTGTATTTATTCTTGCTTGCAATTTGTTTTTATTTTTATACATTATTCACACCCTTACAAAATCACCCCAATCAATTTATATTCGAGATTTGTTTTTCAAATTCAGGCCATCTCGTGAAATAGTATTTATATCACAATATATATTGCAAAAAAAATAAAAATATTGTCTTCTCAGATTTTCCAATAACGTTCAGCCCTACCAGACACCAATAACTATCAGAACCCATTTCATTTCTTTACATGGAACACCCATTTCATTATTATTTCAATATCAGAAATGATGATAATGAGCCTCACCATGGCTGCTGGTATGATCTTGAGAAACTCCTAAACCTAAGGAAAAAAGACAAATACAAAATATGACAATACAACAACAGCTATTTTTCCTAATAATTACATGCATGATCACACAAAGATACTATGCACAACACAATTTTACTATAGGTTGGCATCATCATAAACCCTCTTATGAACACACAGACTCTGTAAAGCCCTCCATAAGCGTATTAGTGAACACAACACCATGACCAACCAAGATGAATGTTTGAATACACTGTCAGAGTGTGTTTATAAGAAAGTGACTCTGAAGCGCCAGTGGAGATTATTGCAATGTATCAATAGTTACAATCAAAGCAGCCGCCAAGTTGCCCTGCGCCAAATTCAGCCGAGCTCTCGTCGTTTTTATTTATTTTAAAAAATCTAAAATAACGTTACATTTGAAAATCACTAATAACTCCTGTATGTATAAAAGTATACATTACAGCTCTACAATTAGGCACTGTTTTACCTCTGGTAAGCGCAGCACCCCTTGAAGTGACTTGTAAGGTGCACTCGATCAACGAAGACCGACTATTACTTAATGTACTTCCGCTCACAAAAGCTTCCACTTCCAGATAAGTCATGAAAAGAGGAAGAATTTCAAAATAAAAGTCATAGCGCAGATTTTGAGTAGTTTTATTTCCCACACATTTAAAGTTCAAAAGTAAAATAATTAAATAAATGTTTAAATAAAATGTAATAAATGTTAAAGAAAATGTCTACGCAGTAACAGACGTACTAAAGTCTCATAGCCGCAGAAAAATGCATAAAATGTACATTTGTAGCTAATGATGTTAGAAATTCATTTTACTAAAGTTAAATGGAAACAAAAGAATTAATGAATAAATTCAGTTTAAAGTAATGGTGTTAGAAATGTATTTGAGTAAGATCCTGGGAAAATTGGGTTCTAAAAACTGTGTCTCTTTTAGGCTTACTGCACCATCTGCTGGACAAGGATTCTCAAAGCAGATCCCCATCTGTCCGTGCAAAATTAAATGAACTCATTCAATGGGCCATATGCACAGCTAGTGTTTTTTAGCCAACGGTAAACTTCCGGTGAAAGGTTAATGTGACAGTTTAAAAGTTTATAAGGTTCCTTTAACAGTTTTGAAATTATAATGTAATTAACATACTATCAGTTAAATAAATGTAAGAATTCATTTAGTTGTTCAAGCATAAAACAAGATGATAAACCGTGTAACCGTCGTCAGTACCAGCATGCTAGCACATGAACTCCATTCAAGAAGGTAAAATAAAGGTTCATATTTTAAAGTGATAGCAAGGAAAAAATAATTTAGTGCTTCTTGTCCAGTCTGGGACCCACTTTATTTCAAATATCTATTAGATAATATATCTATTTTTTTTAATCAAAACAGATCTTAAACGTGACGGTATTGACAGTTCACCGGAAGTCGCCGGGCTGGCTGAAAATTAAAAGTCTGCATATACCCCAATAACCTAAAAATATTTATCATCACAATAAGCTCTGTATTTATTCTGAATAACAGTAACTTTCAATCACCACGTGACACTGACCTAAGACAAATAAGCACAAAAAAACAAAACATGCTGTAACTTAAATGAATGGCTTAAACCAATATACAGTTGAAAATTTTATTTAGAATAATTGCAAATCACCTTATTTAAATGAAACACAGTCCCCATACGTAAAGGCAGTATTATGTGACCGTTATATATAAATACAACTTAAAGGAGACAAAATCAATTGCTACATTTGTTGTTATGAATCTCTCAGCGAGGTAAAACCCTAAACATTTCCACACACACAAAACAACAATCAAAACCATCTCACCCATGTCAGCCTGCTGTAATACATGCAATACTGTAATATAACAAATGAATAATATAAAATTTTAATAAACGTAATACAACTTCTAATTATATATATATTTAAAAAAATGCTGATACGAGGACAGTTTAATGCTTATTAGTGCTGTATTTACAACCTCAAAGATAGATAGATAGATAGATAGATAGATAGATAGATAGATAGATAGATAGATAGATAGATAGATAGATAGATATTTTAAACTAGTTCCACTTTTTGTTATTACAGTCTCAAGGCTTCTTGTTGGCTTGTCAGCCGCCATTAAACCGTATCAGACGAAGAAAAGGGACTATTCTCCTTCAAATTATGGGTCACAGATCTAAAGACTTCCAATGACCCGACAATTGTCATGGTGTTTCTGCGCATGCTCACAACATCGGAGGTAAACAAAGAGGAAAGCGCGCACCCGGCCTGAATCCTGCCTAGTATTCAACGTTACTGTTCTACCGTCCTTTCTTGTTCGATCGAATCATGGATGGGATATTTTCATGCCGAGCAAGTATTTATTACGACCAGGGCGGTCGGAAATACATGGAGGACCTAGTAACGATGAAGCAGGAGGATGAGCCGAGTGAGGATGAACTGGACGCCGCCGAACGTGGCGAGGTCGAGGCACCAGCAAAAGACCCAAACCCTGACGCTTCAATTCAAGACTCCATCCCCGGATCTATCACGGTTACGTATATTCAAGACGACGAGCCAATCTCTACTCTTCAGCATGCGTCGATGCCCTCGTCCGTACACGCCCGTCGGCCGCGCGCCGTGGCTCTGTTTGCGGTGTTCGATGGACATGGGGGTCCGGACGCCGCACGCTTTGCTCGCGACCATTTGTGGGATCACATCAAAAAACAAAGAGGGTTTTGGTCCGAGGACGACGACGAGGTGTGCGCTGCTCTGCGAAAAGGGTTCATCACTTGTCACCATGCCATGTGGAAAAAATTACGTAAGTTTTTAAAACGAAGCGATATTTTTACATATGTTCTTGTTTAAATCCGCTGTGAAGTCTCAGCCATTTTATGGACGTGCCTTGGACAGAGTCGGGCAGCTGGTCTTTATGAATGAAAGTTTCACCATCAGATGTATCCCGCCAAATAAGTTGCACAACCCCTCCATGCCAGACAGAACACAGCTAATCAAGACATACTGTAGCTAAATTGGAGATGCTGCATATCAGAATAGTGTGCTTGCTGAAATCAGCTCAACTCTCATAACACTTGTGTTAGTTGGTTTAAATGTGCACGTGATTTTTTTTTGTAAATAAAAGTATTGAGCAATTAACTTGAAGAACAAACGAGAATAACATTGAAAAATATATACACTCGCATAAGATGAAGTTTCCAGTTTTATAATTTAAATACTCTTTTTATACATATGGCGGGTCGCCCCCTCGTGGACGTCATGTTTACAAAATGTGAGACTCAATGCAAACAATGCTACTACTTCATGTGAAAATAGAACAGTTTTCACTTACATATGCCTGTTTTTACATTAAAATAATCAAATATATATTAATACATGGCAATACACAAAACAAACACTATAACAGCTAATTATGTTTAAAGAAATACCTATGCAATGGAGCCCAAGTTAGTCTGCATGTGATTGTGTGATCTTCATTCTTTTGTCCAAACAAGATATCACAGATCGTGTGTTACAAAGATAGTTAGCCACATTATTTTTATTTATTTCATCATTTACTGTCATGTCATTTCAAACCTGCATGCTTGTTTCTTGCATGGAACACAGAGAGATCTTGTTTATTAAATCTATTAAATGTGCTTTGATCAATCAGATCAAAGTAGATCAGAGAGACCCATTCTTGTTTTGACTACCTCTGGAAGTGATTGAAAGTAAACAAGCTCATAACATTTTATACTTGTATTTAACATTGTACCCTTGCTGTTGGATCAAGCAATACACTGGGCTAAACAGAATTTAAACTTAATATTTGGCTGCCCCTGGTCTCCATGTACGTTTAATGAATGAAAATAAAGCAGCCTTATGTTTTTATGACAATAGATGTTGTTTTATGTGCATTTCCCAAAAAATATAAACTCATCCCATATATACTTAATCTGCTTTCTTATAGCGGAATGGCCAAAAACAGTTACAGGACTCCCTAGCACATCGGGCACAACTGCAAGTATTGTGGTATTAAGACGTGACCGTATGTACGTTGCCCATGTTGGTGACTCCGCAGTAGTGTTAGGGGTGCAGGATCACCCCTCTGAGGAGTTCATCCGAGCAGTGGAAATTACTCAAGACCACAAACCTGACCTCCCAAAGGAAAGAGAGAGAATAGAAGGGCTCGGTGGCAGGTGAGTTCTTATATAAAACAGTAAATCACAGACGTTAGGTTAGTCTTTTTAATTACTTTGATTAATCTTTACACCCTGTTCTACTTTTTTATTGTAAAACATATGTGGATGCACATAAGCCACACAGACTTTCATATCAGCATCTTTTTGGACTAACTGTATCATGTAACAATCCTCACCCTTTTGTTTTATGACAATACTCATCAGAAAAACACAATCTGTAACCCGCTTTGTGTATCTAAAGTGGTCTGACTGGTTTTTGTTAATGCACATAGAGCTTTAAAGCAAGACAGCATAACAGTTTGTCATCATTTACATACTCTAATTATAAGCTTTGTCTTTTAGCCTAAAAGAACACTGCAAGCATGTCAGTTTGATATAGACTTACTTTTAGTGACCTGTATGCTTTAGAAATATGTTTTGTAATGATGTGGGGATACTTCTTAGGCTTCATTTAGCTTGAGGTAAAATATGGTTGGTAAGCAGTTTGTTTGGTAAACATTAACAGCCACCACTGATCATTATCAAATTTCTCTTCTAGTGTGATTAAAAAGTCTGGAGTTAACAGGGTGGTGTGGAAGAGGCCTAGACTTACCCACAATGGACCAGTGAGGAGGAGCACCGTCATAGATCAGATCCCTTTTTTGGCTGTGGCCCGAGCTCTTGGTAAGTTGCAAACTAAACGATTTTGTAATGTTGTTGTTGAGACTGAAAAAAGTCATTAAGATATTGAGTGAATTTTAGTACACTTGACAAGTCAGCAGAGATTGTTGTTCTGGAAAATTGCAACATGCCACTGTGATAAACCCATGTTTTGCAACAACAACAACAAAAAAAGTCTGATATTGAAACAGTTGTTTAGAGGTTAAATAAAGACTGTCTGATGGGCTAGATAAAAATAAGTTAATTTTAAGCACTGATTGTAAAATAAAGATATGAATTATAAGAACATTTTAATATCTATATTAATTCCCCCTAGCATTAAAAGTTTTTAAAGATCTTGCCAATGCAAATCGAAGCTTGGCTGACTAAATTGCATAAAACTGATTTTTATATGTTTTTAGCATACACATTTAGATATTTAATGCACTAAATGTGTCTTTAGGTGATTTGTGGAGTTATGACTTCTACAGTGGAGAGTTTGTAGTATCCCCAGAGCCTGATACTGCTGTTATCAAGCTGGATTTGAAGCAGCACCGCTACATTATCTTAGGCAGTGATGGGTTATGGAACATGGTATCACCGCAGGAGGCTGTGTCTATTTGTCAGGACAATGATGAGGCCAAGGTGAGTCGTTTAACCTGATATTTTAGGCCAATGTCATTGGTGTTTACTTTTAGAAGCATTCACTTACATGAATGCCTATTCCAACAGGCGAAGAACCAAAAGGGAAATGTTTCAAATGCTGTTCTGCTTGTGAACCATGCCTTATTGAGATGGCGTCAGCGCATGCTCCGTGCTGATAATACCAGTGCCATTGTTATCTCTTTGGAGTCATTTGGGACATCCAGCGAGTGTTTGCCACCTTATGAGACCGTGTACAATCTTCAAGGAACAAAATGTGGCGCTGTTTCTAAACCTTGCACCAACTCTTTGCAGACTCAGGTTAGGAATGTTTTAATCTTTTTTCTTTTGTAATGGATTATATTGTGGTTTTAAATTATTTGTGTGTTCACAGTTGTTTGCTTGGTCTGGACAATAAAAGAAAATATTTTTTAAAGACTAAACCTAAAGTAATGAAACAAAAAAAGTATTGTATGACAAATATTTGGACATTACTGAACATTCAAAACAGCTAAATATGCTTGTTGTTAGTTATGGGTCGTTCTTGAACAAATCCTTTGTATGACTTGAGAACGATGAGTCCTCCCAGGGAGGGATTCGTTCATTTGAGCATGCACACATCTGTGCAGGTAGAGTAAAAGATTAGCTATGTTTTCAAGTCTTCTTTTATTAAATTATGAGGTTAAAAGAAAATGTCTGCTTCTAACGTTATGGAAACCTGTACATGGGTACAACACGATGAAATAAATGAAGTGATGTTTTGCTTAGTTTGCCGTCACTTTTAAGTCAGCCACCTTTTGTTTTGCAATAAAATACCTGGACATTTTCCACAGGCTATATTTTACTGCTAAATATTTTAACGTTTGAAATTTAAATTCTAGATTTACATACATTATTTTGTGACAAATTATGTCATATATGTGGCAAAGAAATAGCAATTAACTTTATTTCTTTTTTTTTTTTTTTGGTGGGGCCAGTGAAAATTTTGGCAGGGCAAGTAAAAATCTGAACCACTGGTCCAGTCAAGCCAATAGGAAAAATCCTTACCGTTGAACCCTGTAAATGATTATTTTCTAGTTTTCTAGTTATGACCTGTTTGTAGTGTGATCAATGTTTGTTGTAGTTGTAGATGAGTTTGGAAGCAACTCGCAACATTTTAATAATATTTTGACAAATTAAACAAAATGACTCAAAAAGATTCGTTCAACTCACTGAACGACACTCAAAGGTCCGAGTCAGTAAAATGATCCGAACTTTTCATCTCCACCTGATGTTTGTGTAAAAACATGCTATTTTTATGTGCTGAGAACACATAATGAGCTTATTATAACTTATTTTTAACTTTAAACTATTACATCTAACTTTTAAATTGTATAATTATTATAAAATAAGTAAAGGAGTCACAACTGTACTATAAATTAATTTACAAGGAGATTGCATCTTCAACTCCTGTACTAAACTGTTATGGGTAATGCAGCTGATTTATCTGTCCATTGTTTGCTTCTTGTGATTTCAAGATTTTTTTTAACTCATTTTTTTTTATTTATTTAAAATGTCATTGATTTGTTGCATTCATAGTTCTATTAAATAGCACCTGAGTTCATTAGGGAAAGGATTGAGAGTGAGACCCATCTTTTTTTTTTTAAGTCTCTTTATGCCTGTTCAGTGCATGCCAGAGCTCTAATGGCTTAACACTTTTTTTTTTTTTTTTTCAAATGCAGTGTCCATACAGGGCATTTTCAAGCAGGGTTGTTTTAATCAAACCAACTCAATCTGAACACACCCTAAAAACAACAACACGCTTAAACTTTACTTTCAATAATGGTTTTTCCTTCTTTTTTAGGTTCCTGATGCTCCAGTACAGCCCATCCTGGAACAAAAAAATAACAGCTCTGGTGCAAGCATAATATTTGAATCTTCTGACAGCCTTACAAACTCTGAGGACCTGCCCTGTAATGACTTGCTGGAAAATGGGGCCAGTTGTGACCGAACACCGACTGGCAAACGGGTGCTCGAGGATTTCTCCTCCTCTCCTGTGGGGAAGAAGCCCCGTAGTAGTTTGACCCAGTCCTCTCTTAAAGAGTCCTCTTGTACATCCTTGCAAATACCAAGTACAGAGCCCTCGGCCAGGAACAATGGTGATGGAAGTGGTCAGTCTGAAAACGCCCAAGTGTTGCTTCAGCATGGGAAGACTACTGTATGTGTTTGCTGACATTTGTGCTGCTGTTACAATGCAATCCATTCATTCATGCTGGACGGTCAGACTCTGATATTCATATAGTTTATATAAGCTATCGAGAAACCAAATCCTGAAACAAGTAACAATGTCAAAAGAAAAAAAAAATCACCCGCTTCCATTCACAACACTCCAGCTTTAGTGTGTTTTGTGTTATACTTTATATTTTACAGACCATTGAAAATGAAAATGTGAGATTTTGTCTGATTTTAAATGAGTTTTAATTTTTACACCTTTGTATGTCCACTGCTCACTTCTATTACGCTTCGGGTCAGTCAGGTAGAGATGATGGGTCAACTAGGGATATTTGCACTTTACTTTGGATTTGTGCTGCCTGGAGAACTGTGGGGGAAAATGACCAAAAAAGAAATTATCTTCTGAGAAGATATCTCTCTGCAGCTAACATGTCACCTGTTTCAAAAATAGTTTTTGGGATCAATGCTATTGGTTGTATTTGTACATGGTTTTAATTGACAAGGAGAACGGTAAATCATTTGTAGTGTTCACTGATATCTTAACCCTGTGTCATAAGGTTTAATATTAATGTAGAATGTGAGCATGAACTTTATGAATTATGCATTTTAAACAGTTATTTTAATGTTTCCACGGATTTCATTAACATTGTTTTTGTCTCTCTGATGGGAGTAAGTGTCATTCTAAACTGAAGGTGCTGCTATGCTAAACAGGTCAATAAAAAAAAAAAACGTTTTCGTCAATAAAAACATAGGATGTATTGAAGATATGAAATATCTGTTCCCATGTTTACATCTGAGTTTTTTTTATATTATTCATTTAAATCATTAAAAGTAATTCTTTAATGTGGACAACCATTAAGTCAGGGGTGCCCAAACTGTTTCATATAAAGGTCCAAAAATCAAATCTCATTTGTTAGCCGTAGGCTGAAAATAAATATACCAAACCATTTTACATTAAAGTTGCCAAGGGTAATTTCCTAATTTGTTTAATTTTTTTTATATTATAAAAAAATAAATAGAAAAAAATACTTTGAATTGTTTTAACTAACACAGTATAACTTTTCATTCATCATTCAATTTTTAACGCTTTTCTATGGGCGGGTTGCGGGGGCAGCAGTCAGAGAACCCCTGACTTCCCTCTGCCTAGACACTTCCTCCAGCTCCTCCGGGGGGATCCTGAGGCGTTCCCAGGCTGGCCAAGAGACATAGTCCCTCCAGCTGTCCTGGGTCTTCCCTGAGGCCTTCTTCCGGTGGGACATGCCTGGAACCCCTCCCAAGGTTGGTGTCAATAGGAATCCGAAACAGATACCCGAGCCACCTCAGCTGACTTTTCTCAATGTGGAAGAACAGTGGCTCTACTCCGAGCTCCTCACCCTATCTCTAAGAGTGTGCCCGCTTGTATCCGAGATCTTGTCCTTTCGATTATGACTCAAAGCTCATGACCATAGGTGAGAATAGGAATGTAGATTGACTGGTAAATTGAAAGCTTTGCTTTTAAGCTTAGCTCCTTTTCTTACCACAACCAACCGGTACATTGACTGCATTACTGCTGCCGCTGCACCAATCCGCTGGTCAGTCTCACGTTCTATTCTTCCCTCACTGGTGAACAAAACCCCAAAATAACTTATTCCAATAAAAAAAAAAAAAGAATCATATTTATAACAGTGGAGTTCAATGTCGAATACACTAGTCAAGCAGAATCTTCCTTCGCCTTAATTCACTCACTGAAGTCTTTACATTGTCCTCTATCTGTTGTTCATACATTTTAAACTAAATCTGTTTAATATAAACCATTTAGATTAAAACATTTATTTTTAGATGGCTTTTGTAGCTTAACAATAAAACAAACAAATAATAGGGTACATTACATTTAAAAATGACAATCTCTACTCTAAACCATTCTCAGATGGGATGGCGGGCCAAACCATAGACTGTAAAATATAGGCCAAATCAAATGTTACCGTGGGCCAACTTTCGCCCGCGGGCCCTGGTTTGGGCATCTTTGCACCAAGTCATATCCATTTATGTTTTTTTTATGCCAAAAAAGCCTCGTTTTCCGAAAGAAGACGGAAATGAACGAAGTATCTCGGCGGGTGGTCGTCACGCGATATTTCGATGTAAATAAACACACCAACGTGACCTGATGCAACATGAGGGTTTATTAAGACTTTTGCACATTTTCAGATGTAGATATGCTCGTATGAACGCGAACCAAACCAAAGTTTTTTAAAACATTGCATGTTGATGTGGAGGTTAATTTGAACAACCTCGTCAGATTCGTTAACGAACAAAAAAACCTTAAAATCTCCCGTCATCCATGATTGGTCAGAAATGCCCAAGCGCCCGCCTCTAGCTTAACTTCATTGGCTACTCGGTCCCTACACTCATTTCCGATTGGCCAAAGTCTTTGTTGTTTCCGCTGCATGTCAGCTTCACTGTGGCGTTTTGTGAGGACCTCCGTTGCTCTGAAAACACAAAGCCTCTGGTCAGTACAAATGTCGCTTAATTACATACCCAACGCTACATTTCAGTTATACAATTTATAGGAATTTATTTCAGGAAGTGATATAAGTTATTGTCATTGTTTGGTTTATTGTCTTTGAAGCGTTGTAATGACAGATAGCGGTATTGGCTAAGCTAACAGACAGAGTGGGAGATAGTTGATATGATGAAATGTTTGAACGGACAAAACTGCCAGCTGTGTTACTCTGACATCTGCTTGGACATCGTCTCACAATAAATTGTTTAACATTTATGGCAAAATGTTACTAAACCAAGAGACATACACATATTATTTGTAGTATATCACAGTCTGTTTATTAGTAAAACCTGCTGGAGTTAATTTGAAGAGTTTGCTTTGTTTATCCCACACAGATGTTTGTCGTCTTAAGTTGGCTGTTTGTAACTTTTTATGATTAATTCTTATTAGAAATGTGCCCATGGTGCTGATGAATCCAAACCATTCACATCTTTGTTTTCATTTGTTTACATTCATCTGCAAAGTGTTGCCATTTTGAAGTGATGCAGTTATCATATTTACTTTTATACCTTCTCAGTGTAGGGTTATACAGAGACCATATTTATTAATGATAAACTGTGCTCTAATGTGAGATGTACCTACAGTGAAGCTTAGTGTAATAATCTTGTGAAAATAATGATGTGTGCTGTAATATAATAAATCCATGTACTCTGTTTCAACAGGATACTGAGTGGTTGACCATGGCGTCTGACTCGCCACGCAGACCGAGCCGCTGTGCTGGTGGGGTTGTGGTTCGAGCACAGGCTGCAACGTAAGAACACAATCTCTCTTTTTTTTGAATGTGTAAATCCAGTGTTCAGGATTGTAAATATTAAGATGTGTTGCAAGATATGGTAAAAAAAGAACATTCCTGCCCATGCTTTTATATGTAATTTTATTCTCTGGTATTTTCTTGTTCAGATATCTGTTTTTAATCATGAGTACTGGTTTGACTCTTTTTCAGTGAGCAGTCGTACATGGAGAGTGTAGTTACTTTCCTGCAGGATGTAGTACCTCAGGTAATTGTTTTCCTTTAATTTTGTGATTGCAAAACTAGAAATTCACCTTTTTTTGTTTCATGTAATTTGGTGTCCATGTTGATAAAATAAAATTCTCTCCTGAAAGGTTTGTAGAATTTTAAAATTTCAAGATTTTGAGAAAAAAAAACTGTTAGATGTACAAGATTCAAATACAATATAATAGTATATGCATTTAATAAAAAAGTCTGCAATTAAGATTTTTTCCCCTTTAGATTTGCAACTTCATTTCTTGCATTTGCAAGTTTATAGGCTTGCTAACAATGCTGAGATGGCTGGCTTTTTAGTCACAACCTTTTGACCTAAGCTAACAATTGCACACACACACACACACAAACACACACACACACACACACACACACACACACACACACACACATATATATATATATATATATATATATATATATATATATATATATATATATATATATATATATATATATATATATATATATATAAATTGCTGTTACAAGCTATAAGCTCTCTATTCTATGAATACATTTAGAAATTCAAGAGATAAAATTATGCTATCACTCTTTTAAATTTGTAGTCATTGGCAGGATTTAATTTTTATTAATGTTTTCAGTGCATTCACTTTCAAGAAGGAAGATTTTATTTTTTAAGAACCTGTGAACCTAGTTCTTAGAAGTATTTATACATCACAACAAGTGTCATATCTCTGCCTCTTTCTTGGAAATTTCAGGCATACACTGGGGCACCTCCAAATGATGAAAAAGAGAAAATAGTTTGGGTCCGTTTTGAAAAAACAGACATTAATGGTAAGTTCATTTCATTTTTGAATGATGAGTAGCAGAACACATCAGTGCAGATCCTCTTTTTGCATCAAAAAAGCTAAATTAAAAATGAATTTTTAAGAGGCACATAGTAATTTAGTCCTGATATTTTTGTGGTTGACCTAAATACATATTTAAATGTCATATTTATGGAAAGTGACATTTAATTGGAGTCTGTGTTCTTTAATTCGCACTTTGTCAGTAGGTCTAATAAAACGTAACATTTGTATGTAATTTAAAATTTGTTTTCTTATGCTAATTTGCCCAGTTTATTAAAGTATAAATTTAAAGTATATTTAAATATTCAATATTAAAAAGTATTCCCACAAAGACTTTATTTACTTATTTGTTACTATACAAAAAAAGCAGTAATAAATATTTTTTTTATGTAATATGAAATAACTGTTTTTTCTTATATATTATCATAACAGATTTTCAACAGGCACTCAGGCAACTGGGTATTACACCATCATTTAAAATCAATCTAATAAGCTGATTTGGTGTTCAAGAAAAATTTCTTTTAGAACTTTTTTTTAGAACGCAAAATTACCCATTAAGAGATTGGTAAGATCTTCCGGTCGGCAGCTTATGCATATAAAGAAAAACATTTGGACAGCTTTGATATAATAGTTTAAATCTATTTTATTCGCTTTTAACGTCTTTGAACTAATACTGTTGTCGAACAGCACCATCTTTTAAAAAATGTGATCTAATAGGATGGAAAACAACTGCAGTGAGGCATTTTCACCTAGTTGTCAGAAGGCATCTTGTAAAGTTTAAATAAAGCCTTGTCATTGCTAGTGATCATTTTTTCTTTTTTTTTTTAAACGTATAACCAACCTAAACAAATGTAATTCATCAAAATTTTGGACACACACACACATAGCCTGTACTGTCCGACTAACACACTGATTTAATAAGCATCACAAAGTGAAAATAAGGTGGTGTTTTAAAAAACACATACTGTGATAAATACTACACAACCCACTAAATGAAACATAAACAACTCCCAATTAGAATCAACATGCAAATCAGCCAGCAGAGCATCCTCAGAGTATCTCAAAATTTTATTGGTCATTTTTATAAATTGCATGACTTGCATACCTGTTTAGATTCATGGCAGTAATCTGGTTTGCTCTATACTGCAGTCAATTATTGCTTGTGTGTGTGTATGCGTGCATTGAAGAGCCACTGAGCTAACAGCTGACAGGTTGGGAACACACACACACGCACACACACACACACACACTGTATTTCTGACGGCAGATACGTGAGCTAGGAGAACGTTTTTCTCTCGTGCTGGAACCACATATGACAGATTATAGTGGCTTTAACACACACACCTTTTAAAGTTGTGTGTCTTAAAAACACTCCGTAATTCACTCTAAGCTCTGTTGAAACCCATTTTCAGAGCGCAAATTACCGGTTGTAAACGCTGTAAACGGAAGTTCTAAACATTCTCGTGGAACATGCTGGTCGCTATGGCGCCTTTCATGCAGCAGCCAAGAAAAAGGTCTACACCAATGATTCAAAAGTTACTTGTTGTGATAAATTTTTTCCATGGTTCATTGGAATAGAAAATTAAGAAGAACAGCATGATGTTTTATAAAATATAATATTAAATATATTTGTCATCATTTTGAGTGTAATAACAATTTTTACTGCCTTAATATGATTTGCAAGTTATGCCGTAGTTTATATTTATATTGCCATATTAGGTTCGCAAAGATTTTTATTGCACCAATACTAGGTGAACATGACCCTCATTCCAGCAAATATTTCATGGAATGGATGAGATGGGTGACATCATTTACCTCTTAGTGATGAGTCAATCACAGTTTTATTTATTAATGACTTTATAGGGCAACGCAGTGGCTCAGTAGGTAGTTCTCTCACACTACAGCAAGAAGGTCGCTGATTCGATACTCGGCTGGGTCAGTTGGTGTTTCTTTGTGGAGTTTGAAGAAAATGAATGAATGAATGAATGAATGAATTAATTAATTATGAGTTTATTTAGCATGTCGGCATCCCCAGTTTTATGCCACAGTCACACTAGAGTTTTAGCATGCGAAATTCTGTCGTATAGTGCTGCGAAAAGGGATGGAATTAAACAAGATGATTAGACATTAAAAAAAGTGAGCGATTGGTCCATATTTTAAATATCTGTCCAAAGAGGTCATGCTTTGATTTTTGATTGGTCTCAGACGCACGTGATGCAATTTTGCAGGTCAGAGTTCACCAAGCTTTAACTTTGCAATGCAGTGAACTGCAAAACTTCGCACAAGCTTGCGTTTCCGGTCTGTCGCATTCGCATGGGTATAAATGGAATTCTATGGGGTTTGACTGCGGCTTTTGTCCCTTTTGCTCTAGGATTACAGCATGAGACACATGAGTTGTACAGTAACAACTCATTCCATAATCTTCACTTTTACAGTTTTTTAAAATTATGTTAAATAAAGTGTGGCATTCAAGAAGGCATCTTGAAAGATCATAAACATATATTTATAACATTTTTCTGACCTTCTCTACCTTGTTTGTTTATTTAGCTTTTTAATGTTGACATCAAACATTTGTGATTTACTTTCTCTTTTCTATCTGTGTCAATACTTTAGCAATGATGAAGTGTGTTTCTTGTCCTCTGCCCAGATGTGGCCCGCTTACCAGAGTTCCAAGAGATGCACAGCAGTGGCAATGACCCGCCTCTCTGCTTGATGATTGGCTATGCTGATGGAATGCAGATTTGGAGCATATCAGTGAGTCTCTCTCTGCACCACATGGTCTGCATTCAAATGTAAATACTTGTCTGTGGTAGTCCAAGAACAGTATGTGAAAATACCAAATTCATAGCATTCATAAAACAGTAGGCAAAGCTTATACTGGTGACCTTATACTTTTGTTGAGTTTCAGAAATGCACATGCAATGGACACTTTACTATCCTATGAGGCTGCCTGAGATTGTCGTGAATGGCATTAACAGTAACACAAAAGGCACTGTAAATCACATGACAGCATGACAAATTTAATACATCTGAATTAGATATTACACACATTCCTGCTATATAGAACATCATTTTTGGACTTTAGCTATCATGTTTTTCTTCAGACATATACAGTTGAAGTAAGAATTATTAGCCCTCCTGTTAAAGTTGAATACTGTTTATAATTTTTTCCCCAAATTCTGTGCAATGGAAAGTTTTTTTCAACACATTTCTAAATGTAATAGTTTTAACAACTAATTTCTAACAACTTTCTAATCTTTGCCATGATGACATAATACATAAAACATGATACATAATATTTACTAGATAATTTCAAGATACGAGTATTCAGATTAAAAAGCAATTAAAATGATTTACCAGGTAAATTAGGTTAACTATAAGTTAAAATAATCAGTCGAGTATAACAATTATATAGTTGTTGTATAACAATTGTTTTTTTGTAGACAATCAAAAAGATTCTTAAAAGGGCTAATAATATTGACCTTAAATGGTCAAAAGCCAAAATAAAACAAAGAATTTTAAGAAGAATAAAATATTATAGAAAATGTTGTGCAAAGTGCTTTGCTCCATTAAATATCAACAATTTAAACAAGTGATCAGTATTTTATGCTGCAAAGGTTTGTCAAGAAGGCTTACATATACATTTTATCGACAACCAATCAATTTAATCAATTTTTGGTTTCTAAAGTGGGTTAGATAAAGGCAAGATGAACATTTTGACACTACCACAACTAGGATAATTTAAGAAAAAGTTTTAGACAGCCGATGGGGATATAATCATACCTGTGCCCATAATTAGTGTACATACCTGTGCCTATAATTATTATACACTCTTTAAAAAAATAAAAAATAAAAAATTATTCAATATCAATAGTCATCTGGGGCCTCATGTATCAACGCTGCGTACGCACAAAAACTTTGCGTACGCCTGGTTTCACGGTCAGAATCGCTCACGTTTGGATTTACTAACAATGAACTGAACGTGGGAATATGCGCAGCTCCACGCCAGCTTTATGGCTGGCGTACGCACATTTTTTGTGCGTGTCTGTTTTATTTCCATTGGCGACTCCTAGAGGCAGTTGTGTTAAATTGCTCTCTACAAAGTGTCTGAGCCTTGCAATGGTAGCTGTATGAGACTAGCAGGTATATAAGGTTTCCATACCATATAGTTGACCAGCTAAACATTAAAGCACAATTTGCAGCGGTCGCCTGTTTTCCCAATGTAATCTGAGCTATCTACTGCACGCACATTGCTATAAAGACACTATCTGAAGATGAATTTGCATGCGTGAATCAGAAACATTTCCATTCAATAAATGTGCAAATAAAATTTGATGCACAAACTTCTTAATGATTCCTACTTGTCTTTCTCATGATAAATAGTTGGCAAAATCTGATATGTAGCGGGGGAAAAAAGAAGAAAGAGTTCATCAGACGCTGGATTCGAACCGAGTTCATGCTCGAACGTGTCAAAACTTATTGACATGCGTCTTACGAGCTGCGCCACTGAGATTGTTATGGGTACTGCAACATTTTACACCTATAAACCACACTATTTCTTTTCAATTCTCTCAGTGCGATGTTCAGACCCAACTGTGTTAACCGCATCAGCTAAACTTTTTTCATTTGTTGTTAATTCCGGAGAACAAACTTGCAAATAACACCGTTTTTCTCTGGTCTACCTCCGAAAGCAGCACCTCCAATTCACATTCTGTTCAAAGTTTCTCTTCTTGCTTGCTTTTGCAATTACTTTTTCGTTGGGTTTTGCCAAAGTAGAGTCATTAGCATATTCATACGGGGGAGGAGGCAGGGAGGGGTTTTGTGCTCGTGCATGTTGCGCTCAGTTTCACGTTCATTCGGATGTACAAAAGAATATGCGTGAGATTCGGCGTACGCAGTGTTTCATACATCTGAATTTTTTTCTGCGTACGCACATTTACAGCTTTGTGCGTACGCAATGTTTTAGTATGATTTCCACGCAAGTCCTCGTACATGAGGCCCCTGGTCTTTCCAAAGTTCCATTTTCTTATCTCCACAAGCTGCATTTATTTATACATTTAAATTAGGGCTGCATGATATTGGAAAAATCTAACATTGTGATATTTTTTATTTTAGGATATATATTGCAATGCGAATACAATTTCACCAAATGAGAATAATTATTTTGGAATAATTTTTAAATTTTCAAGTGACTTGGGTGATTCTGTATGGTAGAGCACAGAATATAATAAACCATTTACTAGCATAGATAAATTTGATAATGAAAAAGATACAAATTAAATAAACAGCGTTTGATTGTTTTCTGTGGTGTCAAACTGTATTCAGGTATACAGTAATTAAATAATCTAATGTAAAATAATACCACATAGTCTTCATTTTATAAACAAAGTCATTAATCATTATTAATTTTTTCAATCATTAAACCCCCTGAATTATTAGCCCCCTGCTTATTTTTTCCCTCAATTTCTGTTCAACGGAGTGACGATTTCTTCAACACATTTCTAAACATAATAGTTTTAATAACTCATTTCTAATAACTGATTTATTTTATCTTTGCCATGATGACAGTAAATAATATTTTACTAGATTATATATATATACACACACACACACACACACACACACACACACACACACACACACACAGTTGAAGTTAAAATTATTAGCCCCCCTCTCAATTTTTTTCCCCTTTTTTTATAATTCCCAAACGGTGTTTAACAGAGCAAGGAAATTTTCACAGTATGTCTGATAATATTTTTTCTTATGGAGAAAGTCTTATTTGTTTTATTTCGACTAGAATAAAATCAGTTATTAATTTTTTAAATAAAATAAGGACAAAATTATTAGCCCCTTTATGCAATTGATAGTCTACAAAACAAACCATCATTATACAATAACTTGCCTCATTACCCTAACCTGTCTAGTTAACTTAATTAACCTAGTTACACTTTAGTAAAATATTATGTACTTTCATCATGGCAAAGATAATGTAAATTAAAAATTAAAAATGATTTATAAAAACCTATTATGTTTAGTAATGTGTTGAAAAAAAAAAAAATCTTCTCTTCGATAAACAGAAATTAGGAAAGAAATAAACTGGGGGGGGGGGGGGGGCTAATAATTCTGACTTCAACTGTGTGTGTGTGTGTGTGTGTGTAATTTTTTTAAACGACAATTTTTATTTTAAACATTGCCATTCAAATTGAAAAAATAAATAAATAAATACAAAAACAAACAAAAAAACAAGAAAAATATAGACTCAAAATAACTTAATTTAAAATAGTAAAATAAATAAATAATATAATATTAAATAATACAGCAATAATATATTTGTCTAATTTATATACTTTCAATGTCCATCAGTTCAAGACAGGAGTCACCATTTAGATTCTCCAAAAAGTCATAGAATACTTTTATAATAGACCAAAATATCTGCATTTTGTTTTTCAAAAAATAGGCCTTTTCCAAGGCAAGAGGTCATCCTTTTTATCCACTGAGATGCACCAGGACTGTCTTTTTTTTCCAAGAACACACAATTACATGTTTAGTTTGCATCAAACATAAAATTAGCGGTAATGTTCCTGTTTGGTCACATTAAAGTCCAATGGACACATATGTAATATACACAGATTGGGATCAAGAGGAATTACTTTACCAATGATTTCAGAATATCTTGTTTTCTGTAAAAAAGTTTAGAATCTCTTGAGTGTGAGTAAATGATGAAGAAATGTTAATTTTGGGTGAACTTGTTAATTTTGGGGTAAATGTGCAATGCTGTGACTCTCTTTCACCACGTGGTGTCACCATAGACAAAGACAAGTCTGTAATTCTAGAGTAAAGTTCCTAGTATTGAAGTTGGATGAAATGATGTGAAAATATGTTAAGCTCTTCATCATGTCAAACAATAAATGATATCACTTCCCGAATAAAATGGAGAAGGTGTCCGCCTTGGTTTTTCAGTTGTAGGGTAGATAAAGATATCCTCCAAATAATGTGTTTTGTCACCCTTGCTCTGCTTTGAAAGATTTACCCTTTATTGTATTATTTTTATGAGTGTCCTGACAGTTATCACCTCAGGAAAGAGTTGCACTTTTTATGACATAAATTATGCTGAGCATCATCACGGACATGAGCTCGCTATTCTTTGGAAGAGCGAATATCACACATTTTTGTGTGTAGAAGGTGTTGGAAGCGTCACATTGTCTGACTGTATGTTGCCTGTAAAGTGTTTGTGACTGTTGCTGAGATGACACCTTCTGTTTTGATGCTTAAAGGAGGAGGAGAGACACAAGCAGCAGTACATTTCTGTGCATTTGTATCTTGTTGTTGAAGCAGGATCTTTTGATGGAGGTGTTGCAGGAGAGGGCAGGAAGATTAGATGGGGCTAATTGAAGTGGTAGACTAAAGGATGACATTTAGTACAGTGCTAAGAAGTGCTAGAATGTGTGTAGTCTTTATTTGTTGCTGTACTTTTAGTTTATAAATACTTTTTATGCTTTTATAGTTGGATCAGGGTGTTTGGAAATCTGACTCTGTATAAAATTGTACATTTTAAGGAGGGAATAATGGTGCACAATGTATCATATAATATTATATTTATTTATGATTTCTTTTGTTTATAAATAGATTCAATATGTTTATGACAATGACATCAGTGAGTATTTAAATTAGGGCTGAACAATATATAGTTTGAGCCTCTATATTGCAATGAATGTATCTGCCGCAGTCACACCGCAGGATTAGATATTAAAAGA